TCTCAGTTGAGAAGTGAATCTCCTAGTAGAAGGGGAACTTCTGAAAAGTCAGAGGTTGAAAATGTTGTATCTAAAAGCATTTCACGGACAAAGGTGAGTAAGAATGGAGAAACTGAACAGCTCTGACGAACAATATTTGAAGAAATCATTTCTGATGACAGTTTGTCATAAGCTCTCACTAAATCACTAGTCTTCGAGTAGAGAGCCTTTAAAACGTTAACGCACTCATTTGGTACTGCCATAGAACTTCACGTTAAACAAAGTCAAACGCCGCCTCATTGTCGAGGAATACAACTATTGTCGGACGTTTGAATATGCGTCTATGTTCTAGGACCTGACGCGGTGTGAATATTTGTTCTGTGCATCCATGTACAGGTCTGAAATTACTATTGTTCGCAGTTATTGTGGGGGTTTCTTATCAGCCTTCGCTTAAGCTGACTTCGCTCTTCTTCATGTTCTGAGCCGGACCGGATGAGTTTCCGTGCATCTGTCGGTCCAGTAGATGGTACCAAAATGCGCTCCTTCTCCCTAACCTTATGTTTTACCTCACTAATAGATATCCATGTTGTTTTCATAGCTCTTTGGATACCATTCCAAGCTGCCTCGGGATGGGCGTCATTTACATGGTTATCTATCTGTTTTTTTAGTTGCTCCTGGAATATGTTCTCAGTTTTGCTATCGGTAAGTAGAACTCTAAAAGGGTTTCCTTGCGTCCAGTAGGAGGCAGACAAATACGCGCTCGCACTAGAGCATAATCTAAATCTGAACATGTGCTTCAGAATGAGTGACAATCTTCAATGGAGCCTCTCTACCGATGGCTGATAGCAATGTGGTCTAGTTGTGTCTAGTGTCGAGTTGACTTAATAGTCGCCATTTCAAAAAGTGCTTTCCTTTGGGCTTCAAGTCAGTATTTGCCAGAAATAGGCGGTTGTTTAAGCATAGTTGCAGCAGAAAGTCTCCATCACCAGTTTTTTTGTATCGCGACACCATAAGATCTACCCAGATGTCTTTGCTTTTCGCCTAGTCTTCCCACTAGCCACTGTTGCAGCATCAGAGCGCTTAACATTTTGTAGGAGGCTGAAAAGCTTTCTGTAAACTTTATACTTCACCTCATCCGAGTTGCAGTCAGTGGGAGCATAGGAAGAGACAACGAATAGGCAATGGTGAGTATCCCTATCTTTGCGAGTTCTTATTGTTCCCTTTAGCCGGACAGCGTACAAGCGATCCAGTCTAAGAGAGCCAACTCAGCCTTAGAACTCAGTGCAATACCTACACCTTTGTTATGAATACACACTGCGGTTCCTAATAAACATTCTTCCATTCATTCGTTTCCCTTCTTTCACTACAATTATTCCATCGACCTGTTGTACTTAATATTAGTTTTTATAAGACATTATAATTGGAGTTTAATTTGTTAAGTAAGCGAGTATTGGTTTAATTAAAGAGGACACTTGGAAATAATGACTTAACATAGAAAAAAAGTATACAGAATGACTTTTAAATTTCATAATTATATATTATACACCTGATTGCAGGACTAACAGGTTTTAGAAAATTTACGCTTAAGAACACTTTCAAAGCAGGATGATTCAAGGTTTTTATTGTTAAACTTTTTATTGATCTATCAATTACCAAAGTTATTCAATAAAAAAAACGTGAAACACAAATTTTTAAGACATCATGCTTCGTTAAACATGTTACAGTCAAATTATTTGTCTTGAAATCGATACTTAATTGAAGTTAATAACTAACCAGCTATTGAGGTTATACTATAGTTCCTTTGTTTGTCTCAGTATTGCCTGGAATACAGAAACAAAGCATTTTAAATAACTGATGATATTACAATTTCAACTGTGTTACCAAAAGTTACGCAATACATAGTTCACTCTAATATTGAAAGGTAATTCGATATTGATTGTGCAGTAACTATAATTCATTCGACCACGAAATTTATCATTCCAATATTATTTATTTCAAATAGAACCTTACATTCAGGTATTCCACCCAAGCATATAGATCAATTCAATATCAAAATGTCAAGTTTTTTTTTTGAAATAATGAAAAAAAGTTTGAAATGTCGTAACCAAACAATCAATATTGTCAAGAAAATATTGATGTGAATAAACGAAGGGATTTATGTATATATATATATATATATATATATATATATATATATATATATATATATATATATATATATATATGCTGATAAAATTGAATTACTGAATTCTGAATGAAGGTTCTTAGTGTTGAGGCCGTGATCTCATGTATGAATTATAAATGAACTCTGTTAATGGGTTTCGTATTTGGACAAAACTATTGAGAACTCTTCATTTTTGAACAATATTTGCAGCAGACGTCAATCTGAGGTAGAAATTACTTACTTATGTTGGATTATTTCGAATTTTTATCAGTCGGTATTTACTTAAATTCCATTTTATTAGAACTTAAAAATATTCTAAACAGAATAAACTGATATATTTCTACTCATATAAAAATATTAATAGTATGTAATGCTTACATTTAGTTTTTAGAAAATTTATGTATTAGTGTACATCTATTTTTATCAGAAAATTTAGCCGGCACACTTGTCGAAATAGATTTACTTCTTATTGTATGTAAGTGTTTTAGTCTATTTACTGATGAATATAAACATAGTTACATTCATATTCCATATATAAATGTGGAACTAGTCTGTGTAAAGACCGATAGTTATAATCAATAAAATGAACATTTTAGCTACACAATCATTTAAATGCATCAATATATGATGTAAATCTTCACTTTTTTTTCTAATGTCTAGTTTCAGTTGTATAATAATACTTAACAGTTTTCCAGACATTTTGATGGAATCTATTTTTTATAAACAAACAAGAGGGATTATTCATAAATTCTTGGTTCTATAACCTTTTTGCTTTTTTAAAAGGTTTCAGGTAAATTATCTCTGGGGGTAATCGTACAAACTCATATCTGATAAAACTTACTGAATAATAAATACAATATAATTTCTGTTATCTTCAAAAACCGGTAAAACTATGTACAAGTGTCAAACTTAAGCAACTGTCCGAATAATCTAAAAACTGTTATGTTCCTTAATCGAAAATGGCCATATTCACTGGTGAGGTTGACAGCTTATTGAATACGAAGTAAAGAAAATTATAATTGTTTATCAGTTGTGTGTGCATCTATCAAAGTTTATAGTAGAGTTTCGATCTTAAAACTGAGGTACGTTCCATACCAAAGCTTTTTATTATGAGTCCGAATCATATCCTACCTAGATTATAAGTAGAACTGTAGATGTTTCTGCGCTCTGAACTGACTGAAACAATTATTCATAAAACGGTTTATTGCAACAATAAAAGAGTAAAGTCTCGAGTACAGTGTCAACGATCCATACAATGTAAACAATGCAAGTTGATGAGGAACACAATACTTATTCTCTAAGTCTGTTTATAAGCCAAAGTGTGTATATAAGTGGAATAGAACTAACTGATTAATTGGTGACATTATGTAGATACGAACTCTTGCCTTCAAAGCATAAGTAGACGCATAAAATAACATAGATGTCTCTAAAATGCCATTTTAGGAGAAAAATTTAATCCTACAACTATCAAACCAACAGTGAGCAGAGAATAAATCACTGTTCACAGACTTTTAATACCAAAAGTGATTAGCTTTGATTCCATAAAAATTATAGTACTCGATTAAGTTTAGATTATTACTATAACTGTGAAGTCTAATTAGCAGTCACTAATAATTAAACTGTGAATAAGAATGATAATAAGTGAATACAATACGGTATCGTGGAAATTGTTAAGCTACACATTTGAAATCATGAATCGATCAATGTTAGACCTTTATTTGAAAACCGGAAGCACTGAACGGCCGTTTCGTTCTGGTTGAGACTCATCAGCAGTGCGTACCAACGACTCCTGCACCACGCAGGATTCGGACCCAGAGCCTTCGGCGTTGCGCGCCAACGCCTAACCTTTGGACCACCAAGTCGGTATCTGAATAAATTGTTTTATAACACTTAAAATATTTCCACTCCACTCTTTCGATTCATGACAAGCGGATACATATGAGCAAAGTTTGATGCTTCTCCTAATTTGATGATATCCATATCATCTGTTCTTATATCTTTCTTGAGTACATTTCCAATCTTAAAGTTGCTTTGAACGTTTTGACTGAAAGTCTGTTGATTGTGATTTCATTAAAAAACCTTTGATGTCGGAACTTAATAAATTTGAAAAAAAACATTATTATGGAAAATTGTTTGTCAAATATTATATACCGGTTTTTAAACCCCTTGCGCTATAAGGAACAATGATTCAATGCATAGATGTTACTCACAAAAAGAAGATTTTATTATTTTCACAATAAATGCAGAGAATTCAAGCTGTGTCGCAACCTGAACTAATTAAAAGATATTGGGGATTGAAATACCCTTCATTCATTAGTAAATGGCGTACTTTATTCTACGGTTGAGAGTATTTCAAGTATACCATAGCCATTGTTTAGCACAACTTAGCTATGAATGGTTGTTAAGTCTGGTTTGATCACGAAATTTAGTTGTATTACTTAATACTTTCCTTCAAAACTCATCTACTCTTTGGGTCCTCGGTATTTTGCTATGCCTGCCAAATGGTTCACCCTTATTGATTCATCTAAAATTTATTTTTCAAATTCTAGTCATGTAAATATATTATAGGCCTATTCATAAGCAGTGGTCCTCAGTTAAATCAAAATTCCTTGACATATACAATAAACTCTCTACACAATAATTTAACTTTTAGTTAGTTAGAAAACAAAGAAAGAGGTTAAGAAGTTTCATATTTTAACTATTCTTGAATTAAAATCATTTAAGTTTAACACTAGATCACTTAGGTAATGAGTTTATTTGATAGACGGTTGTATGGTTTCAGGAGATTTAGTTACAATTTTGACCTGGTTTTACTCGGTAAGGTAGCAAAAAAAACAGAATTCACTGAATCACTTACTTCAGATACCCATAAACGTCCTTGATTTTTGTGAAAACGAAATCCCCAAGGTTGAAAACGACCTAGACGTAATAATCTGAGGTCGAATTCTCTCTCATTATGAATTTGACTTGCAGAACGATATAAATGCATTCAAGAAATTCGTTTTATATTTATATGTTAATGTGTGAAGACGGTGTTTAATTAAGGAAGTATTAAAAACTGAAGTGAATTCAACCAGTATCTTTCCTAGTGGCAATTAGCATAAATCATGATGCAACTGATGAATGTGCAATGATAAGAACACCCATAAAAACTTGTTGCAATTCAAGAAATAAATTTAAGCACTTCTTGAGTTCAAATAGGCTTTATTGCGGTTTAGAAAAAAAAACTAATTCTTTGAAACCCTTTTTTCACTTTTTCGTAGGATTTTAGTGCATAATCTTGATTTGTCAAGTCTTTAACCAATAGACTGACCAGATAAGTATCACGTGTGTTTTAAGCAATTTATAGTTTGTACAGTATTTAAATAGTCCTTATAAAAATATGAATTTATTTAAATAACATGGATTGGACAGTTGAACAGATGAATATATTTGTTTCTACTAGCTAGTTTAAAATGACTCTGCATTGAACAATTATTTTGAATGTTCATCCTACTCGGTTGTTTATTAAATTTTCTATAGAGATATATTACTTTGGCAAACTGTTCAATATAATCAATGATTATTGTCTGATACTACAAGTATAATAGTACATGCGTTTTTTTTTCCACAAACAACAAATCATTTTCTAGGCAAGATAGATGTTACAGACATTATCCGTGCTGTAACATACACATATCAGTTTAAAATTTTATTTCCAAGTTGTGTTTATTTTATGATAACTGGAGCATTTTCGATTTGACATGCATGTTTTTAGTTCCCATTTCATTTGAAGTCGACATCTTGCAAGTCCGCATTCATGATGCTAAGTATAAATAACGAAATAAAAATAAATATCTATCTTAGATGTACGCTGACGACCTATTTAGTATTTTACATATGTGTTCGCTCATAGCCTTGGTTATTTTTACTTCAGTGCGTGTATGCATGCTTACTTCACATATCGCATGTCTAGCTTATTTTGTCTGACTTAAAATAGTTATTCATGTTTCAACGCATTTAGTTGGCTCGCTCACCTTCACCACTTCCTTTCGCTTTGTTTGTACGCTTTTCATTCACATGACCGTCTGCTGAAATGAATGCTTAAATACAAGGCTCGCGATAAGCACTAACATTACAAATACGAAACTTATGTCCAGAAGCAAACATTCCCAACTTTAATCATTTCCTAGTCAGTCAGTTAGCTACAGCGTAGAACTCCCTAAGTAATGGTAGAAATATTAGCAGTAATGGAGAAGATTGGGGAGCGAAGATATGATTCGAGAAGTATAATTCAGTGAGATAAATGTACAAATAGAAAGACAGAAGTGATGAGGAAGTCAGCAGGTTAGAACACAATGAATGAATGAACCTGTGCCATTGCAAACGATTTTGAGCCGTCATTCTAGGTCTCTAACCATCGATGAATTCCGTCTAGCGGAACTCAACCAGATAGTCTACATCTACCAACATGACTCAGTCCACTTGTCAGTGACTTCATGAATTTATGCCGTGTTTTGGTTTGGCCGCCCCCAACGTTCTTCCAACCTATTCCTAAACCACAATACGTAGCTCGTCGAGGCAGTCGGTGGTTGAGCATACGTAAAACATGTCCTGACCACCCCAACTGATGAAGTTTCAATACTTTATCGACTGATCTACCATCCCTACCTAGTACTCGATTCCTAACAACAGCATTGTTTACTCATTCCTCCCAGGATACACGAGCAATGCTTCGGAGACATCGATGATCGAAGACTAGTAACCTACGTAAGCCCTCTACTCTTAACGGCCATGTTTCTCATCCGTATAGTAGGACGGAGCGAACTGCTGCACAGTACACTGGTCCTTTGGTTAGCAAACGGATATCTCGCCTACGTCATAAGTGACGCAACTCGGCAAACGCCAATCAAGCCTTCTGTATCCCTGCTGAGATTTCGTCAGCCAATAGGCCATCGGCGCTGATGGAACTACCAAGATATGTGGAGCGGTCTATACGCTCGACCACTTCACTCCCTATCACTAGTTCGGGTACCAATGCACGCCAATCTTGAAGATACAGTTCGCATTTTGAGGAGAGAACCGTATCTCGAACATGCTTGCATTGTGGCTCAGGGTAGGCAGAAGACTGCATTTTGTCAGCGACTTCACTGCATAGGACTGTCATCAGTATTTTCTATGTCCACTCCTGAAAAGTCAGACGAGGATTATGTTAATTCTAGAAGCATACCTGCGACAAAGTTAAACAAGAATGGAGAGAGTGGACAGCCCTGACAGATACCACTTGAAGTAACTAATTCCGATGACAGTTCGCCGTAAGCTCTCAATCGACCTTTAGTGTTCGAGTAGAGAGCTTGTATAAGGTTAATGTACTTCTTCGATATACCTTTCAATGACAGACACTGCCATAGAACTTCACGATCAACAGAGTCAAATGCCACCAATAGATCCAGGAAGATAAACAGTGTAGGACGCCTAAACGTGAGTCTGTGTTCCAGAACCTGTCGCAGTATAAAAATGTGATCTATGCAGCCACGTCCAGGACGAAAGCCAGCCGGGTTTCCTCTAGTCTGCTCTTCACGAGCACTAGTTAGGAGACTAAGGATAATCGAGGCTAACAATTTAGACACTACATTACTGGAAAGGGATTCCTCTGTGATTGTTACAAGAGGGCTTTTGTCCTTTCTTATAAATTGAGACAATCAGCGGTTGAGACCAGTCAGATGGGATTACGTCCAGTTCCCAGATTCTACTGAAGATCTTAGTCAATCTAGCTGCTAAAGCTGGACCACCATCCTTAAAAATCTCAGGAGTTAGCCTATCAGGATCTGCTGCTCTATCTCGCTTTAGATTTCCTTTAGCCTTCTCGACTTCATAAAGACTAGAAGAACTTATATCGATTCGACATTCGGGATGACTGGAGATTGTAGGCAACGGAAGTGTGGCTGAAGGCCAACTGAACTGAACCCTAAAGTGTTCACCTGGGTTGAGAATCAGTGATGCAGCCATCTTTTTGTGAGATAGTTTCGCTAACAGATGGATTTCAAATACCGGTTTCCTTGATAAGTCGGAACATCTGTCTGCTGTAACCTATCGCCACTAGCTTTTACATCTCTCTCGACTTCGCTACCGATCACTGTTCGCGATCAATGCGTAGGCTTTTTACACCAGCGAGACCCCATGCAGCAGCAGCAGGGCTACCAGAAACACGAAGAGTAAGTCGAGTTGCTTCTTTATCTTAACATGGAGAGGTCAAGTGAATGACGCTGCGCGGATTATGTATGCGCGTTTCCGAGACGCCGCATACATCGATGGCGCGAGCTTCTAAAGTCCTAGCTAAGGAAGCCTGTTGCCCTATTTGACACAATGTCCGGAAATTAAGTGCTCCAACATGTAATTTAGAACGGGGTTTCAGGAGAACAGGAGTAACGTCTCGTGAACTCGCATGGTTCGCATTAACGGTGCAGTGTGATGAAGGAATGTGAGAAGAGTTAGTCGTGGAGATAAGAGAGATATTAGGGGGTGCAAGGAGGATTTGATTGTGAGCGATCCGGTCTCATATGCTGTTACGGGAATGAGTGCGGATATCACTTCCCGTCTGCGCACACCGTGGATAGGTGTTTCTTGAGGAACCTGAGGAAGTTAGATTAGTGTTGGTTTTAAAGATCTGGGAGCGTGACCGGACAGCCCAAGGGACAACTGTTTGAGGCCGATTAAGCACAGCCTTTTATGAGAGATTTTTAAAGTATTAGCTCCGCTCTTAAAAGCCTTTAGTGGACACCCTTACCGACGGAGACGGAAATCCGTGAGGTAGGGGAGGTGTGACATTTTTAGGGCCGACCTTTTCTAACCCTTCCTTCCTTGTGAGAAGGCAGCATCGCTGCAGATGCTGGTTGTCCGAGGGAAACACCCTCTGCAGTCAGCAGTACGACTTAGACCTCAGGCTTTGAGTAGCTGCGTTTGGTCTCATCGTTTTCCAATCGACCTGCCTGGCATGGTAGTACCTACAGGAACATATGTTCCAGCGAATATAGCTCGGTTGGGTCATCACGATAGGCAAGCCCGACCATCACATCAAGGTAGAAGCTACGGTCGGTGACTACGGTCTAACTCCCGGTATTACTGAACCCAACTAGTCATGACTTTTCACTAGAATATTAGGAACTTTTCTCTTAGTAACTCTCTAAGTGAGCTATAAATTATAATCTATACGGGTTGTATGAAGGCCACAATTCCAAAACCTAATTTGAACAAATAATATTGAATTAAGTAAAATATAGTTAACATAAGCGTTCTTAAACTGAGGTTATTACAAATTTTGAGAACTGCAGGCAAATAAGATAACGAATTAAGAGTAATAAAACATTTTTCTACAGATTTGAAATCCAAGGAATATAGAAAGAAAGAGGTCCAACTGACGGCAATCTATGTCATTCACACGGTATTCCGACACAGATAATTTAGTATCGATCTCTATTAACAGGTGTCAGGTACCTATAGTAGGCTTATCCATTGCATACTGTCAAAGATATTTTTAACAGTTTATTTACTAAGCAATTTCTTGAGCGACAGTTTATCTTTTCTAACTTGATAAACTTTAGAAATTCTAACAGTAAATTTACCTCCCCAAATATGAAATCTTTCTAATGCATTGTGATGTTTCATTTCTAAAGAGATAGAATCAGTGTATTAGTATTTACCTATGGTAAATTCTTTTAATAGTTAATCTAGTTTGGTTTTGCAAAAGCTTAGTTCCAGTCAACACCCTGTAAGCTTTAATCGTCTTGTTGCAAGTAATATCCACTTGATTATATGTTTCACGCACTGATTTAATCTTTCGACTGGGTTGTAATTCAAAGCAATTTACTGAAATTCCAGAAATTGAATTTACTCTCTACACACATATGTCATATGTCACTATCTTTCGTAAATAATGTAGTCACCGCGATTAGATTTCTCCCCTGAAAATGATTAAGGCGAAGCATTTGTTTTTATCTATCATTCAATAAAATCAATGATAGATGAATTAATCGACTGGATGTTATTTTTATGTTCATTTTGTCCTTTTTCTTACTTATTTATTTATTTGAAAGGTACACTTTCTTCTTAATTGTATTTTTTGATGAAAGAAATAATATCCGTATAATTTACGTCATGATGTTTGTAAACTTCGTTTTATTTTGTTTGCTATTACTGTATTATACTTTGCGTTCTATCTAGTTTGTTACGTTAGATTACATAAGAAGTTACAGCATAGGATACACGTACTAATATTACAACAGACGTGAATTCACATTCATCTGCCACATAAATACGATAATCAGCATCTTCAAGTACTATTCATTCATGTAAAGCTGTAGAACGTTTTAACCTAATTTTCATACACTTATTCGTGATCATATCTTAATTACTACCGTAATCAATACAGTAAAATTAGGTTCACTGAATCAGCGGTTATACTTGACAGGAAATTAAAATCTAAGCCGTTACAATATTATGATTGAAGACTGAAGCTTTAGCATTCAGCGTGTGAATAATTATTGGACAATACATTCCTCAACATTAAACCATAAATTCTGAACACTCAAGAAGACATTTTCTATGAGATTGATTTACAAGCCTTAAACTAAACTCTCAGCCTAAACATGCATAGATTACACAACCAGAATAGAGTCCATTTAAAATAACACTTTCTATAAATGTAATCTGTTTCTATCATGAAAAATTATCAACGATTATGTTCTCAATTCGAATGACGCAGAGAAATAGAGGAGAGAAAACGGGTGTTTACCGAAGTGTGCCTACACATAAGAAAATTACTCAAAATATATACATATACATACATATATATACAAAGTTATTTCCTAATTATCTATGTTTTCCATGCTTTTTAAATGGTTTCCCAATTTTAAGAGTTTTACTCTTATTGTTCTTATTATTAGTATTGCGACTATTCATCTTTTTACCAGAAGTTTTTCTACGCTTTTTCTGCTCGTTAATGCAAGTTGATACGAAATCACATCCATTTGTTTGCTCTTCAGGAACAGTGGACATTGCATTCATAACTTCAGAAATTTCTTGCTTTTTAGAGGTAGGTGCTTCAGATGCCCAAGATGTTCGTTTCAAACCAGGTTTAGTGGCTATTTCATTAATATTCGGTGTAGGCAAATCGTCAACAGCTGTAAATATAGTAACACCTTTAGATTTGACACGTTTTCGCATTGACTCCACTGCCTGTATTCAATAAAACAAATAAATGAATAAATATTTTGGACAAAGGTAAGCATAAACTATGGCATAACAATTACAAACTAACCTGATTCGCTCTAAGAGATGCTTCTTTTACTTCAATATTTAACTCTTCAACGGCTTTCTCTAACTGCTTATCTAGTGAACTGTTTGGTTCAACTAATGCAGGAATTCTTTCATGATCAAGACCACCAGCAGATACTAGGCGTGATTCAATTTCCTTCAAGAAAAACGTAACAGAGTATTGGGTAAGTAATGTCAAAGCACAACCAAGGCGACCGGCTCTAGCAGTTCGTCCAACTCGATGCATATAAATTTTTGCATCTAAAGGAACATCGTAATTCACTACTAATCCCACTTGTGGAATATCTAAACCACTGGATAAAAAAGAGAAATGCAACAACTTTTCCAGATGGGTATCTTTATGGAACCATTTTCAATGTTATGTATGAAAGATAAAACAAGCTATTAAAAATCAAAAACCCTGCAATATTTAATGGATCAGTAAACTAACCATTTTAAGATGTCTATCGAACATAATTGAGAGAAGAACCATAACTTAATGAAAGAATCTATAACAAAAGGCTATATACCATGAAAAGATATTTGCAGCAGCTTTTTTAATCATGCCTGAATCAACAAGAGCAGCCAAGTGTATTTTGCTTCCAGTTTGGTTTTCTAAAACCGGAGATGAGATAGATCTTTTGAACCCCCAATGCAGGAGTTGAAAACTGAATATCTTAACCGCTTAAAACATTGAAGCAGCCTGTAATAATAGGATACTAATCCAAATGCTTAACCAACTATCCATACAATAAAGAAGAATATACATAAATTAGAAAGTGATACCAGTTAATAAAATTGTGCTTACACTCTGATAGTGAACTAATTAGGGATGAAAGTCCTAAAAGAAATCTGTAGGTGTACGTGAGTTTAGTAAACTAATTTATAGATGAAGGTAAGCACCAGTTAGCTGATCCAGAAGTCAGTTGTATTACAGCACTTGATTAACGTTGGAAAATGCCAACTTTTTTAATCAAGTTCATTAGCCACAATAGCCTTAACATAAGATATGAAAATATCGAGTGTGGTGATGCATTTAAAAAAAAGAGCTATACCAAGAATTTGTTACGTGGCAGTTTCTAATCGATTTTGATCTAAACTAATTATTCACAAATAATAGTTTATACTTCATGGAATATACTGATCAAACCAGAGGACAGAAATACAAACTGAAAACCACATTTGTGATTTAAAGGACGGCCGCCCAAGGCCATTGGTGATGACTATTCCATTTCCAATATATCTTAATTCTACCAGTAACAATTTCATCACCGATACATCTTGCAGTTAATCAATAGCGAGCTAGTTATTATAGTTTGGTTGGAGAACCTTAGTGTGGAATTGTTTAATTAATAGACTATTGTTACGAAGTGGTATACCAGCCGTCTAGTGCTCGCTGGTTTTCAACGCTTCGCTAATCAAATTCAATGTGGCAGATACAACCTAAGGATCAAATCAATCTTCACAAAATGGCTTTAAATAAAAGCGATATGGCTGATAAAGACTAACAATAATAATATTATCTTAAACGACTGTTGGGTTAGCTTTTAAAACATTCTTTAAAGTGGAATACAACAAAGAAACGCATACCGGCTTGCCACATCTGTAGCTACAAGAACTGCACCCTGGGTTCGTTTAAATTTATGCAGTGCACCTAATCGTTGAGCTTGAGGCATATCTCCGTTAAGGGCTATGACAGGCTGACGAAGAAACTGACGCAGCAACAAATTCAACCGATTGCTGGCTAGACGAGTTCGCGTGAACACAATCACAGAAGTGGACATAAATGATCTGTGTTAAACGTTTGGAGAGAAAGATAGTTGATTAATAATATCACAATAATTTGAAGTAACTTAACTGCAAAATAAAGATGATAAGTTATTTCGATATCTTGATCAATCACAATTTACAACCAACCATATAATAAAATTGTATTTAAAGAAACACAAACAAAACACTACTAGAAATAAATAGTATTTTCATGATATATTTATTAGACACACTAAACATAATGGTAGGGCATTGAAAATGGTCGTCAGTTTTATAGCTTAAATAACTAAAACTAGACGTATTAATCGTATGACATTCGAAAAATATGCATGAAAATACTATCAAAAAGAAACATAGGATCGGAAATTTTTCTAAGAAATGATTTCTCAGGTACAAATTCATGTACTTGGCTTTGAGCAATATCCAGACATCATAACCTACTTTTTATGCATTATGTTGGTGGTCTAAAACAGGTTTAATCGGTAGTTTTTCATTTTCGTCGTAACTGATGGTTTATTAGCCTAGGGTTACAAAAAAATTGCCAATAAAAGCACCAAAAGCCTTAATGACCCAGTAGTTAACATCGTCATCCATCAGGTAACAGGCTTGAATTCCACTCTACCAATTTTTGTTTGGCTAACTAAGCAACAATATTCAGTCAGATGCAACGTAGAACTTTGTAAGTAAGTACATCAGTTCATGTTGCCATACCTTATCAGCACAGAGATATAACTGTCAATTCAAATCCAATAGTAGAAGAGGTAGTAAAGGTATTAGAAGTAATCGGAGAGGTTAGGATTAGAAGATATTCAAGAAATATGATTCAGTGAGAAAAATTTAGAAAGTCAACAATATTAGTCTGTAAATGAAGTGTGATGTAAAGCCAAGTACATAAACCTGTACCTGGTAAATGAGTTACATTAAGCAGGTTAAAAATTATAGTAGATAGATACCTTTACTGCCTATACTACTATGAGATTTGAATTGACAACTATGTCTCTATGCTAATGTGGTATGGCAACTTGACTTGATGTACGTACGTACAAAGTTCTACGTTGCTGTTGATTGATTGATCATTGAAGTACACCCGTCAACAGTTCACAAAGACTGAATAAAGCATTTAGTTTAACACATTACACTGGGTTAATAAGTGAAAATTAGAGCAAAATATGAGAAACACGTGCTATAAAAGATGACATACATATTTAACCTATCGATTCGGCTTCTAGATAAACAGTCAGTGACATATCCAGCCACGAAGTTTCAAATGTGTAACCATTTATAAGAATGGGTGGTTGGTGATAATTTACACAATCACTTTAAAGAGATTAAATGAGTTTCCGTATGATACTGAGGGTATGGTACGACTCAAATATCTAAGAAACTTACTGATTGTCACAGTCTACATTTTCCGCCGAAGTAGACTGTAGCTTGATCAGATCCAAACCCGGAACTTGCATTTCAGGACAAAGAGCGACACGAAGCAAATAGACTAAATATGAATCTATTTCACATTGTGGTACCAAATGCACATACTGACGCAAGTTTGTTAAACTTTGAAATTTACTTTTACGTGTAGAAACACGAACTGGGTCATGAAGTGAAGCTCTTTGAAGTTTACCTACCTAAAATTCAGGGTTTTTGAAAAATTTTTATTTTAATAAGTACCAGATGCAAAAACCTCCTCCTCAAAGATTTTTTGAAAGGAATAATAATGATCTAGGAGTATTTCAATCACAAAAAAACTTGTGACTTTTAGTATATTGCATAAGTCAATATTAGACAAGGAATATCAATGTTAATCCAGTTTACTATGTCAAATATCGATGTAAAATCCTTGAAATCAGACTACAAAGCCTCCGCGAACACAATGAATGGCAAATTAGACTTCATTTGTTTTTGGACTAGCCGTATAAGCTAGGCTTTGAATAAGATCACATTCAAAGGAAAGACAGTATGCACGTACTGATTTAATCCTAGAATAAGAAAATCACCTATTTACATCGATCCGTTGAATAATGTCAGTCTGTGATCACTACCAATATTAAACAAGTCTATTCTCGGAAAACCGGGAAGTTTACATAACTTAGGAAACGGATAGCAATGAGCTATCTGCTCTGCATCACAAATGGAGTAAGTTTGCGAAACCAAGAAGCAATTGACGATTTTACCAACCATAAACCAATCTGAGTTTATCAAGTTCCAAAATAAATTAACCGGTCAACAGAAGGAGACCGACAGAGAAGTGTGTTTGTTGCAATAAACGGATATCATACATATGCAAAACGTAAACCTTTTAATATATTCACGCTACTTACTAATCATGAGTAGTATAAAGCAATATACATAAGTTTAATCAACAAATAATTTATTCAAACGCAATAGGATTTGACAACTATAATTGATGGTATTATAGTATCATTATTTTAGTGTCTTTTGTACGAAATTCTTCCAACGTTCTGATGTAAGGGTAAATGAGAATAATAAATTTTCCTCAGGACTTTCCACTGCTTTTACATGTTGAACTTAATAAGTGCACAAAACAGTATGGCAACAACAATCGAACTAACATGTTAAACGAAGTATTTGTAAAGTTACCCTTACAATTACAGAAACAAAACTCATTATAAGTTAAGATTTCAAAACGGACCTTATCAGTCATGGTAGCAGAAAATAAGAAGGTTTGTCTTCGTGCGGGGACAATACATAAGATCTTTTCAATTACAGATTCAAAGTCAACACCAAGCATTCTGTCTGCTTCATCAATGACCAATATTCGTAAACTTGAAAATCTCAATTCATCAAAACCTTTTGTCTTTTTTAAATGGTCAACAAATCGACCAGGCGTAGCTAAAAATAAATATAAGAGAGTTATGTATAGAGTTTGAATAACCACATTCAGGATCAAATTATCGCCAAACAGAAAACACGTGATTATCCCGTTACGATCCGGAAAGCAGAAAATAAAACCAGTCAACAGAATATTAAAGCGAAACGGGAGTTTTCAGGATCAATAACAGTAGTCTTCTTCCACTAATGTTAATGGTATCACAGTTGGAATTTTATGATTAAATGCCTAATATAAACCTACACTTTTAAATAGTAGCAATTGTAAAAGGGCAACCTTTTTTTGCCAATGAATGCACTTAATATACCAACTTTCGTAGTTGCTTAGATTATATCTACGATACATGATGTAACATTACAGCTAAAAAAATAACTGGAATAAATCAGATCCCAGAGTTGTTTGTTCGTACGAATTGCGGTCCTCTTTCTGACTACAAAAACGTGTTATATATAATAAGATCTAATCTTGCTTTTCGCATATTAATTTTTAATCATACTCTAATAACGAAGGAGCTTTTAATGTTCAAACTATTTACGACAATGAGAACAAAAATGGGACAAAAGAAAATATATCCACGAGTGTCTGGTTGCACAACTTCTGCTTTATTGTACATTAGTGCAAATAGACGACGGACATAGTATAAAAAGTATAGGAAAAGTAAAAATACAGAAAAGTAATCTAACAAAAGAGTATGAACTTACCAATTACAACATGGGGAGGTGATATTTTCATCAAATCAGATTGCTGAGTAATAGGAACACCACCCACCAATAAAGCTGTGGACAAACCGATGGATTTTCCAAGTGCATTAAACTGAGCCTGAACTTGAGCAGCTAATTCACGAGTGGGAGCCAGTATAAGTGCGAAGAACGGGTGAGGATCTCGCAATAGTTTCTAAACTAACCAAGTGATTGGCTAAGAAAAACATACCTGAATTATAGGCAAGGCATAAGCACCAGTTTTCCCAGAACCTGTTTCAGCCAGAGCAACCAAATTTCTGCCTAGATATTAAACGTTACTGTAATGAATGGATGATTAAACCTTCTAAAGCTGGTGGTATAGACAAAATCTGAATTGCCGTCGGTTCTTTCCATTGCAAATTATGACATGCTTTTTGAAGCTCATCACCGATGCCCTGGTTTTCAAGAATGATAACATATATCTTACCAACTCTGAGAAAGTCTTTTTGTCTTCCATTTGTGATGTATTGGTTGGATGGACTTAAATCTGGTAAAAAAACAGGTGTCCATTAAAGTCTTATGTTTTACGTTACTCCAAAATTATGATACCATTACTTAGTAATGGTAGAATTAAAAACATGTAAGGAATGTTTAGTTCAGTACAGTATCACAAGTGAATGGGAACGATAAATCAGATTTTATGACATTATCACTAGGTTACATGGTCTGAGCATCTGTTTCACTCTAAAACCACCAATTATTGTCCTTAGGTATAGTATGAACTTTCTTTCTTTTAAATGCTAAGTACGTTTACGAGACTGGCAAAGACTTGTGTTGGCACTCACTGTGGTAAGTTGTTAAAAATAGATAAAATGTTTGTGTACATTGTTGCGTACATTGACAGTGGATTAATCTACCTATAGTGAAAGCCAGAGATGCATACTTCAACCTGGATCGTCTTTAGCGCCATCGTCATGTTAATCAATCTGTAAAAGGCCAGTTTTACAAAGCGTTAACGATAGTAGTCCTGTCTCATGTTTGTAAAACTTAGGTCCTTTGGTTTGAGGATGTTCGACGGCTCTGCGTTCGATCGTCGTCATCTCCTAAGGATTGCTGAAATCCAGTGGTAATACCATGTTATTGATTCTGAGGCTCAGCAACGCGTCTAGGCACAGTATACCTCAGGTGATATCATGTTGAAACGTTGTTGTTGGCTTGAATCCATAATACGAATGTCACGCTAGTTAACTCCTACATGAACTAGACGCAAACGCTGGAGTAGGATGGTAAAATGAATGTAGAGAAATGATGAATAAGAAACGCAGTGTGACAGCTGTACAGGACTGACATCCATCAATCTATCATGATCCCCGCAAAAATAATGCGGCTCAGTGGCTTCAGACATCAGATTTAGTTCGACATAAACATGGTTGTCCAAAAACAAATGAAGTCTAATTAGCCATTCATTTTGTTCGCGGAGGCTTTGTAGTCTGATTCCAAGGATTTTAGGCTTATTTTAGTGCCGCTAACCACCTAGTATGGTTATGTTTGAAGATGTAGGCCGGTATTTGCTTAATGTGTGACGTCGATATAGGACAAACCTTAAATGCCTACCTTTCGTGAATGTTTCAAAGTCTAGTTTTTACTCAGTATAAATGCAACCATGAAATATGTTTAGGTCCGGAACATTTCTTGCTTTTATTAAGAATACGGAACAGTGTGTGAAGTGCGCTATGTTGATAAGGCAACGAACCCTTACTAACCTTGATTCTCAGCACGGGAAAACAGAGGTTACTTGGTTCTGATTTATTTTCCTTGACTTCTCTAAGGGTCTATGGTGCTTAATCATAATCTTTATTCATTGATACTAAGCATCTTTAGAACGTTCATGTTAGTTTTTATCCACTGTTTAGATGAATATTTTATCTCTGGTGTACTTCTATTGAGACGAATTAATTTTATTGTATAAATTGAATGATCCAAAACCAGTAGAGACGGCAACGTACCTTTTAAACCGCCGCTGAGCGTGATTTCCAATATTCAATATCTTCTTCACGAGCTAGTTTAAATTAATTGATTTCTTTGTACTTGATATTTGTTCTATCGGTAAAATACCTTTAAAATACCTTCCAGTGTATCCAATATCTTTATCATGAACTTGTATAAGTCATATGGTTTCTATGAGCTCAATTTGCGTTCTTTAGGTACTTTACCAGGTATTTCTTACTGTCCAATATATGATAGTCTAGCCACTTGAATGCACTGATTCTAGTCAGTTGACAGTTATTTATGAACTGGCATGACACGTGATTTGCGTAACTGCGTTTGTCTCAAAATATCGGGTCTTCTGGATACCAGCAACTGTTACACTAACAGGCCGGAATCCCAGTATCTTTTCACGAACTAGTATAAACCGATTGGTTCCTTTGCGCTCATTTCCTGTTCTTAGGGTACGGTTCAAATTACTCGGTAATAAATGTAATCTACAACAATTAGAAATAGCACACCTGAAATCGAAACTGGGAGTTGACGACGTTACTTGCAATGTTGATGAGGAGAAAATTCGAGTCCTATTATGAAAAAAAAGTTTTCCGAACCATGCAAATAATTAAATAGTTTAATCCACTGGCGTGGACGATTCTGTAAGAGAACAGAAGTGTAAGCGAAGTAGTGGAAGCAGAGATAATAAGTGAGATAGAATAAGTTGATGATCTGACAAAGAGATAAAGGTAAAAAAACATGTTTTCAGATATTCATCAGGCATATCTGGTCCAATTGTATTATAATCCGTGTATGAATACAAGTTTTGTCAAGTCTCTTCTTAAAGCTATTTACTAAGACGACTTTGGTCACTTTGGATGGGAAAGCTTTCGAAACTGAGACAACTCTTAATGAGTAAACGTGGGCGCGTACCTGAATGTTCGCTCTGTGATGTCCAAAATTTCGAGGGTTACCTATGGGGTCGTGATGGTCATGTTTTGATAAGATTCACATGTCCAGATGATTCGGCATATTTGACATGCTGTAAGCCATTATCAGGCCACCTTTGATTCTCTCATAACTCAGATAAGAGTATTCCAAGTGTTAGAGTCTGTCCTCGTAATGTTTATTCTTTGATCCTGTCCTCCAGTTAGTTGTTCCTTTCCGCACTCCATCTAGGAGGTTTATGCCTCCTATGAGGCTAGGATGTCTGATGATATTCTGAATTTCAAGGTGTGACCATGTGTATATTTTAAAGATTTAAAAAAAACTGTAGAGAAACTGCATCATGTTGTCTCTGCATAAAAAGAAGAGTTTCATTAGCGTTGAATATGTGTTTAGGCCGTATGTGGTTATTAGACCGATATCGCACTTTGAGGAGACATTAGGGAGCTGACTTTCATTGTGGGTGTTAGTTGTTTGTGTCGCGTGGTGCAGAATGTTAAAGATGTTTCGACTAGTCAAGTTTTAATCCGTTGTCCACTACCCATACCTCTATTGTCGTAAGGTCCTTTTGAAGCTCAGTTGAGACCTCTTCCTCTCTTATGGACCTTCTAACCTTTGCGTCGCCTACACAAGTAATTGCCGCTGGGCTAATCTATGTAACAGGTCGTTAATAAATATCAGGAAGAGGAGTAGATGTAGATGGTCCCCTGTGAAACTACTGAAGTTGAGACTCGCCAACTAGCATGCATTTTATTTACCATGGTAGAAAACTTTCTGTTCTCCAGGTAGTTTCTGAGCCGAAATCGAAATGGGTCAGTGTAGCCTTTGGTGTTGAAAGCTTTTACGAAGTCATTTGAACCGGTGTTTTTTGAATATAGCATGTTCAGCTACCTCATGCTATGAGATTTAATGAACATATCCCGTCTTCCTTCGATTCGCTTACCAGTCCTTCCATCGCATTTGACAGCATTGGTAGTAATGCAGCTGGTCTGTAACATGCTGTGCCTTTCCTGTCTCCTCCGAAGAATGGAGAGGGGGTATTTGGTTTCTGTCTTGCTAGACAGGTCACAACGTACTCTGTACGCCAACTGGGTGCAGTGTGTCACTGAAGTAAATGACTGTGACCACAATAAAAATGAAGTGATCCAAATATGAAACTCAAAAATTGGTTTACGTACTTTATATACTCTCAGATACAACTTTACCTGGGCAAACTATGCTGTGGAGGATTCGAAACTGATCATATTATATTCAACAGATACCAGCTCAAAACTCCGGCTATATTTAGTTCTCCTGCGTCCCTCACTATCTAAGTGTTATGATAACAGTACAGATGCTGGTACATGGCAGCCAAATCTGGTCGAAAGAAAATATTGATTTCGCATGTCTGTTTTCGATTTACTAGGATCCGTTTTATGATAACAATGGATTTTACGAACCGCTGAAACATCAATATATCAAGCCAAATTCTATTAGGAACCGAAGAGTTAGCCCTTGTTGTGTAAGCCTGAGTCGGGTATATACACTAAAAAGATGGTTTCATGAACATGCGTCTTCAAATATATTTAGAAATGTGCATTTATGAATTCGAATAGGGTTTTGCGTAAGTGGACCATAGTGATTTTTCCGATCCGTTGGAAGTAGACGTTATCGTTATGGAGCAAGATTACTCAGAACACTGATAGCTATAAGAGGTTGAAACATGTACAAATAAAATTTGCCAAATAAAGTTAGCACAAAATCATTCAAGCTTACAGCATTGGAGTTTAGTGCTGAAGTCTGAAGTAATCACTACCTTAACATGACACTTCTAAAATAACGAATTCACCCTTTGTTATTTGGAACACGGGAACCTACAAAACCCTCCGAAGTCGAAGATTCTGTCAGGGCAAAGCAGTTTGGGTGAAATATTTCCGCGAATTCAGATAGCGATTGACAAGTGGAACAGAGAAAAGCAAAACAGGAGGAAAGGTGTATCAAGTGAAAGTCGAAGTGTTCGAATGGAGAAGACACAATAGTCATATAGAAGGACGAGATTGTAAAAGCTATGTAGCCACTGAGGAGTCGGAAGCATTCTTGGAAGACATACTGATAGAATATCCAGCTAACAAAAGGAAAGTCCAAATAGAGCCTGGAACACGGCTAAAATACAGTCAATAAGATCATAGTGAATACCAAAAAGGACAACGGCCCTTCAAATAGACCCTATAGAATACCTATTCCTATGTTCCCAACTCAAAAGGAGCTATCATTAATACAAGGAGAGAAGTAACTTCCGGGAGTGATTTAAGGGTTATTATTGCGTGTGATCCTAGTGTACAATAACCCGGGGATTAGATTGGTATCTGTATTGCTTCATTCATGATCATCCAACTAACTCATTAACTACTGTTGTGTGATTTGTTTCTCAACTTATTGTTGGTTTGTTACTTAAATTTAACCCTGTTTACAGCCATTTTTGACTTACTTATGTTTAATGATACTGTCCTGATTTAGGTGATCTGGGACTTAGTCAGCTTGAAGCTTGATTATGCAGGGGCTGGCTACGGACGTCTAGACTAATAGACAAGGTAGAAAGCAGCGAATAGGGATAGAAAAATTCAAAATCCAAGTTCAAAAATCAGAACACAATAAAAAAACTGGGCTAACTATAGTTTATTCTATTTAGCAGACAAATCTAGCACACGTTATTTTTACTCCGGTTGTGTAAGCTACATACACTCGTTAAAAGTATTTTCAGACTCTGCCCATGTTTATATCCTTTGACGAAGAACTGGCAGTTAAAAGGGTGTTCAGGCCTGAAGAAACTATATTCAAACTGTATGGTGCACTACTACAACTGACCCAAGTAAAAAACGCAACGAAAAAATAGTGGTTTTGAACAGTTGTGTAACTTATTCGAAACCTTGCGCCACCAACTTCCAGCTCAGGTTATCCATTTGTGTTAATTTTATGCTTGCGTTATTTCTGATTGTTGTTGATTATTTTTTCTAAATAAAAGTATGTAGGTTCTATGTGCTTACTAAGTTGTTGACTCTCTTCTTACCTTGTTCTTTTCTCTTCCAGATAACATACTGCTGCTCTCACTCCCTTGCACACAAGAAATCTTCAGGCTAAACGCAAACTTATCAAAGGCTGAACGTTAAAAATGAAATTTATGTAACACCAAATCAAGCGTGAGTATTTCTAAACGATCTTATTGGCTTTTGAGAAATACTGATAATAATAATGAGACTTAATCTCTGGGCACATAATACCTTCAATAACTGGTCAATTTTGAATAGTAATCCAAGAAGGTATTTAAATCATAGTATCCTATAAAGTCCACATGACTCTGCCGAAATTATCCAACTAGTGTAAAAATTATTTTATTCTAGATGTGTGTTGATAAAGTCAACGAAACCAATAAGCGAAAGTAAAGAACACACTCCTTCATCCACTCTTTGTCTTCTCTCAAGTCCTGACCTTCTGAAATCATCTTTCTATTCTTAAAGTTATTTCTCTATATTTTTGAATAATGTCTTAGGATCCTAATCTCCGTTACCGCAAATACTTTTTCATCTGTCACTGGAATTTGAATTGAAAGGCAGCTTGAAGCTTGCCACAAAAAGACATCTTTTTTGCATAATACTGAACTGCTTGATTAGCTATATCGTAATCACTGTGTACTGATTTCTTAATCTGCCTAATATAAAACTGGAATGGAAAGGTTCATCGAGGATCCAAAGTTCCATGCAAACTAACGTCATCATGAAAGTGCGTTAACTAATGTATTGCAAACTAGGTGCTCAGGTGCGTAGCACTATTCACAATCTTAACGAAAATTTAGGGCACGCTAATGCCAGTAGTAAAAAATTCCAGTAGAGATGTAACGGGAAGGAATTTTTATGATATACAAAGCCTAAATAATGCATTCACTTTTCAGACAGACGAAGTCTAAGGTCTGAGGGCGAAATTGCACTGCTGACTGCAGAGGGGTGTGACAGCAGTAAGGTGTTTTCCTCGGACAACCAGCATCTGCAGCGATGCTGCCTTCTCACAAGAAAGAAAGGGTTAGAAAAGGTCGACCCTAAAGATTTCACACCTCACCTTAATTCACGGATTTCCGTCTCCTTGGGTAAGGGCTTTTGAGCAAAAGCGGAGCTAACATTTTAAAAACCTCTTATAAAATGACTGTGTGTGACCGGCCTCAAGCAGTTGTCCCTTGGATTCTGCAGTCACGCTCCCAGGTCGTTAAGACCAACACTAATCTAACTTCCTCTTCAGTTTCCTCAAGAAACAACCTTCCACGGTGTGCGCAGACAGGAAGTGATATCCGCCCTCATACCGGTAACAGCATACGAGACCGAATCGCTCACAATCAAATCCTCCCTACTCCCCGTAATATCTCTCTTATCTCCACCACTAACTCTTCTCACATTCCTTCATCACACTGCACCGTTAATGCAAACCATGCGAGTTCACGAGACGTTACTCCTGTTCTCCTGGAACCCCGTTCTAAATTACATGTTGGAGCACTTAATTTTCGGACATTGTGTCAAATAGGGCAACAGGCTTCCTTAGCTAGGACTTTAGAATCTCGTGCCATCGATGTATGCTGCGTCCCCAAAACGCGACTACAGAATCCTAGTATAACCATTAATTTGACTTCACATTGTCCAGACAATGAACCAACTCGATTTACTCTTCGTATATCTGGTAGCCCTGCTGCCGCTTCCTGGGGTCTCGCTGGCGTAGGTACAGCATTGAGTCGTAGGGCAGAACTAGCTCCTCTAGACTGGATCCCAGTAGGTAATCGCATGTTCGCTATCTGACTGAACGGAACAGTAAGGATTCGGAAAGATAGGGACACTCACCGTCGCCTATTCGTCATATCTGCCTACACTCCTACTGACTGTAGTTTAGACGAGGGGAAAGATGATTTTTACAGAAAGCTTTCGGAGTAGATTTGAAGGAAGCTAGTGGCGGCCAGTCCAAAACATGGCACAAATCCATGAAATCACTAGCAAGTGAACTGAGTCATGTTGGTAGATGTATGCTACCTGGTTGGGATCCGCGAGACGATAGTAACTGATGGTTAGAGACCTTGAATTACATGGCTCAGAATCGTTTGCAATGGTGCAGGTGCATCCACTCTTTGTGTTCTCTGAAATTCTAATCTCCTGAATTCCTCATCATGTCTATCTTTCGCTTTCTAAATTTATCTGACTGGATTATACTTCTTTAATCATATCTTCGAACCCTAATCTCCATTACTGCTAATATCTCTACTATCTCCACCACCATTGGATTTGAACTGACTATTGCCTCTCTGTGCTAATGTTGTATGGCAACCTGAACTGATGTACGTACGTACGAAGTTGTAGCTGACTGACTAGGTATATGTTGGCGCTAAACCTCTGAAGGAGCACTTTCGCCATAGCGCAAAATGAATTCGTTTGTCCGTATGTTTCTAGGTCTCACGTGAAAGTAATCTTGCCACAGATTGACCAGTTTCTCCATTATACCTAAGTATGCCTTCTGCATTGGATCTCCTTTATTTCCACTTTTCGTTTATATGAGGTTATCGTACTGATTTAGTAAAGTGCTAATTTCAATTGATTTAATAAAAATTTGTGTTTAATCGACGCAAATATAAGTTTTAGAATTTTGCAACTTTGTATTTTTGAAATATCCAGCTTATTTCTAGGCGTTTGAAACAACATAATTTGTTCTATGTTCTTCTTGCACAGTCGTTCAAATGCTTTTCGTATCATAGAACATGTTGCTTATTCACATAATTCAAACATTTTTGATTCCTAGTATACATCAATAATTGTTCTCACCTTACAATGACTAAGCGAACTCCGCTGCCGCGTTATACACATGTAGCTTTTGTGTACCAGATTATGGGTTTCTAAATATGATTTACTGTAGGTGTCCGTTTTCGCTATGTTGACTATTGTCCTTTGTTTTTAAATTATCACTGTGCTGGCTGACTACCAGTTTATCTTTTCCGTCATTTCATTCAATATATTCTTGCTATTTAGTTGGTCAGCAGCGACTAAATCAACTAATTCTTTTATCATTAAAAACTAAACGCATACCTACTGGTCACTGAACTTTCTGGCTTGGAATAGGTTAACTAACCGAAATATTTACTGTGATCCACGTTCACCTTTAATATATTAATTAACTTATTGTAGTCTTCCATTGTTAATATCACTTGATAACCTGTAATCCTACTATAAATTTGTTGGGTAATGTAACTATCTTGTTCTCCAACCTTTTAAAGCCACTCTGGAACCCAAAATCGAATCTCCGTACACCTACACACTTCATTACTATGGAGCGTCTCACATTATTTCATCTGCGACAAGCTGACAGGACTAGTGAACCTGAAACTAGGACTATTATAGACCAAATGGAAACGGAACGTCTCGTTAGTAAAGCGTATTACGAGAAACTTTGTCAGTGGAAGGATGATGCACTTCGGTTATTCAAAATAAACCACATAAATTATCTTAGCAAGCGACTTTTCAATCTTCCTATGAGTTTTGAACATTTAGATGCAAGCCAACCATGGTTGGCATATTGGATTGTACATGCTTTAAGACTGCTAAACTTTGTAATCCCAGAGGAGACCTCTGTAAAACTGATATCGTTTCTAGCGTCTTCTCAGGTATGTAACTCGTTTTATTTTTTCTCGGTGTTTCTACATGTTATCCATTTGTCTAAAATGGAGTACTACCTAGTCAAAACCGCTTTTTGTGTTTCAGTAGTTGTAGTGGTTGGTTGATTAAATCTCATATCTTGTTACTTTCATTTTAAAGTCAGTCATCAGAATCGAAAAAGTATCCAGTTATTTAGGAGGAAATGACAATATTCCAAACTAGATTACTCCGCAATTTCTGTCTAATTGAATATGAAATGATTGAAACGCAAGCTTATAATATATCATTATGTTTTTCTGGGGTCAAAGGAACCTTTTGTTTGCTCTGTTAAAATCAATTAGTCTCATCATTATCGTCATACGCAACTCAGAAGCTGACGTGCATCGATTCAAGTTACTACATCATATTGGCAGAGCGAGGTTAAATTATTTCAAGATAAATCGCAGAGCAGTAGAAGTTAGTAGCAGAATCAGTAGTAGTAAAAATAGAGAATAAGTATAAAAGAGAACAAGTATAATATTTTGGGACCCAGGTTCTGGAAAAATATGAGGAGTGGATGCACCTCCGCCATTGTAAATAATTCTGAGCCATATGGCAAGCCAATGTCACCTCTTGGCTCGGCCGACCATAGCTCTCGTCCAACGTACTTCTACGCCAAACAAAAACGCGTCTCAATCGTCTCACTTGGTAAAACTTAGTGCCTCACCAACCAATTCCCAATCTTGCCTAGTACTACGCTATACTTAACCTCAACACTGGTCCCGAAACAGACCAACTGTGCTTTGAAGACTTTTGTTATCAAATACTAATATTCTACGAATATCTTTTATTATTATTGGCCATATTTCACGTCCATATAATAGAACAAAGCGAACTGGACGGTAAACTCGTCCTTGGGGTGCTAGATAAACGGTCCGCCTATGGCACAATTGATGGCCGTTTTTTAAGGTAAATCGAGGTTTCTAAATATATGTTGAGATCTTGTCGAATACCAGCCCATCAGGATTGATGACAATCCCAAGATAAGTGAAGCGGTCGACACAGCCACTTCACTTATCACTATTTTACTATCTGATGCAAGCCAATCGTAAAGCAACACTAAATTAACAGGGAGAGAATCGCATCCCAAACATGCTAGCATTGTTGCTTGGGGCGATCAGAAGGCTGCATTTTTTCAGCGACTTCACTGAAAAGAACTGAGGCATTTTCGTATTTTAAGTCAGAAAGTCAATCTCTCTTTTAGAATATTGGTTTCTGGAAATGATAATGGTATTCCAAAAAAGGTTAAATAAAAGTAAAGTGATAGCTTTGATAAATATCACTTGAGATTGACTGTTCTGATAACGCTTCACTATAAGTTCAAATTGAACTACTACTAGTGTTCAGGGGAAAAGCCCATACAAAGTTTTCTGGACTCGGAAGCTAAATGGATAACAAGGCGGCGTTTGAGGCGAGTGGTACCAAGTTAGGATCAACTATGGGGTGTTGGTACATCCAAATAGTATATCCCACTACTAGCCACCTTCCATTTACCTGTAATAACTTGTGTGAATATATTTAGGCAAAGGATGCACATAAGCCAACTAAGATTGATCAAAATTCAGTGAAAACATTTTACGGGATCACTCAAGTCATTCCAAACTGAATTCATAAAAATCTGTCGTTTCGCAGAATGGCGTCAGTCAGTCAAATACAACGTAGAACTTCGTACATGAGTACATAAGTTCAAGTTGCCATTCCGCATCAGCACAGTAACGCTAGTATCAATTCAAATCCCTTAGTTGTAGAGATAGTAGAATTATTAGCAGTAATCGGCGATATTAGGGTTCGAAGATATTTTTCAACAGAGTTGAATGGCGCTTTAAGGTCCAGGAAGACCACTATTGTCGGTGCCTAAATGTGTGTCTTCGTTCCAGGACCTGTCGTAGTATAAAAATGTGGTCTATGCAGCCACGTCCAGGTCGAAAACCAGCCGGGTTTCCTCTAGTCTGCTCTTCACGAGCACTAGTTAGGAGACTAAGGATAATAAAGACTAACAATTTAGACACTGCATTACTGGAAAGGGATTCCTCTGTGATTGTTACACAGGGCCTTTTGTCCTTTCTCATAAATTGGGACTATCAGCGGTTGAGACCAGTCAGATGAGATTGTGTCCAGTTCCCAGATTCTACTTAAGATCTTAGTCAATCTAGCTGCTAAAGCTGGACCACCATCCTTAAAAATCTCAGGAGTTAGCCTATCAGGATCTGCTGCTCTATCTCGCTTTAGATTTCCTTTAGCCTTCTCAACTTCATAAAGACTAGAAGAACTTATATCGATTCGACATTCGGGATGACTGGAGATTGTAGGCAACGGGAGTGTGGCTGAAGGCCAACTGAACTGAACCCTAAAGTGTTCACCTGGGTTGAGAATCAGTGATGCAGCCATCTTTTTGTGAGATAGTTTCGCTAACAGATGGATTTCTAATACCGGTTTCCTTGATAAGTCGGAACAACTGTCTGCTGTAACCTATCGCCTCTGCGTTTTACATCTCTCTCGACTTCGCTACCGATCACTGTTCGCGATCAATGCGCAAGCTTTTTATCAGCCTGCGCTTAAGCTGACTTCGCTCTTCGTCATGTTCGGAGCCAGGTTGGATGAGTTTACGAGCGTCTATCAGTTAGCTGGATGCTACTGAGATTCACGGCTTCTCCCTAGCCATATGGTTTACCCTTCTAGCAGATATTACTGCTGTTTCCACAGCAGTTTCCAAGCTGTTTCCGGATGGGAATCACTTACGTGGTCGCATAACTGTCCGAAGCTACTACCTTGACGTGGTGGTCGGGCTTGCCTATCTTGATGACCCAACCGAGCTATATTGGCTGTAACATATGTCCCTGATTGTTCAACCATGCCAGGTAGGTCGATTGGAGAGCGATGAAACTAAAAGCAGCTCCTCAAGGTCTGAGGGCGAAGTCGTACAGCTGACTGTAGAGGGGTGTGACAAAAGTAAGGTAATTCCCTCGGACAACCGGCATCTGCAGCGATGCTGCCTTCTCACAAGGAAGAAAAGGTCGACCCTAAAAATGTCACACCTCACCTTACCTCACGGGTTTCTGTCTCCGGCGGTAAGGGTGCCCACTAAGGGCTTTCAAGTGCAGAGCTAACAGTCCGAAAATTTCTCTTAAAAAGGCCGTGCGTGACCGGTCTCAAGCAGTTGTCCCTTGGACTCTGCGGTCACGCTCCCAGGTCTCTAAGACCAACACTAATCTATCTCCTTTTTCAGGTCCCTCAAGAAACAGCGTTCCACGGTGTGGGCAGCCGGGAAGTGATAACCGCCCTCATACCCGTTACAGCACCCTACACCCCCTAATACCTCTCTTATCTCCACGACTATCCCAGCACCTCTACCTTTGTCTTTCTAACCTTATCTCACTGAATTATACATCGTGAATAGTATCTTCGAACCCTAGTCTTCTTCATTGCCATTAATACATCTACTATCTTTATCACTATGGGATTTGATTTTACATTTGTGTCTCTGTGCTAATGTGGTATGGCAACATGAACTTATGTACATACGTACGAAGTTCTACGTTGCAACTGACTGACTGACTTTTTAGTTGCTCCTGAAATATATTCTTAGATCTATAATCATTGGTATTACCTTGGACATATTATAACTGGCATATTGGTGTTTTTAAGTTTAGTTTCACTACCTACTGTACAACGAATGATTTGTTTTCCTTTACAACACAGCATCCGGAAGGAGGTTTTGGTGGCGGGCCTTATCAGTTTGCACACCTTGCGACTTCATATGGTGCAGTTAATTGTTTAGCTTCTTTATGTCGTCGAGATGCCCTAGATATTATCAATCGTGATGCACTCGCTGACTGGATGCGAAAACTTCATCAACCGAACGGTTCATTTTTAATGCATTTGGGGGGTGAAGCTGATGTTCGAGGTGCTTACTGTGCCGCAGCAGTTGCAAAACTAACTGGGTTGTTAAAGAAATATCCTGATTTGTTTGAGTCGACTGCGGAGTGGGTGGCTAGTTGTCAGGTGAGCTATGCTTACATAATTCCGATATCAATATCTGATTAAGTACCTTTTTTCTATATGAAAAGCAATTATATATATTTGGAAAAGATGTATGGCAGCAAACTGTTCTTCATGGCAAATTGTCTACGCTAATAATTCCGAAGGATTTCTCATTATACTTATTTTCTAAATTCAAGTAATTAACAAACCGCTTTACCTTTTTGCCCCCGACTCAACTCAGAAACATAACACAAGTTAATTTGGACGTTGAAATTTAGGTTATACTTACTTTGGTCTTTTAGATTATAACCTACTGTCCGGACCAAGATTAGAACAATGGCTTTATAGCTAAAATGTAGCAACTTTAAGATTGAGCAGCATCTGGGTTATTTATTCACAGTAACAATATTTTGTATTTCTGGAGAGTTGACCTCTTCCTCAAGCTCTTCATCGAGTGAAAAATTGTGTTATTCTTCGGTTTATCCCCTTAGGTATTTGAAATCCAGTCTCGATACTATTATATCAGATTTACTTGAATAACATATAGTGAAAAAGAAAAGTTATCTCTTATATGGACTACCCAAAAGTTCACGCAAATAATTTATAATAACTTATGAAGAAAAGCAAATTGTTTCTAACTACACCTTCATCATCTTAATAATTTTATTACAGACATATGAAGGTGGTTTCGGGGGTCAACCAGGATTAGAAGCTCATGGTGGTTATGCTTTCTGTGCTGTAGCAACGCTATGTATTTTGGAAAGGTCAGAGTTAATTAATTTGCCTAGACTATTGAATTGGGTTAGCCATCGTCAAATGGCGACAGAAGGTGGTTTTCAGGTGAGAGAATTTTTACATTCCGTAATTATGCTAAATAATCATTCCATTATCATATATTGTCTGTTCAAACATTGGAATCTTCCACTTAGCTTGAATTCACAGCCAAGTGTTTAGCAGTGAATTGTCCTGACTGATAAACCCCAGATTGCCATTTTCTGTCGGGTAAGAATCTGCACTACTGGATATTAGTAAATAAAAGGTTTATAGTTTAATTTAAGTGGTTGTAAATACAAATAATTGCAAATATCAATTAACTTGAGCTTTTTATCAGAGGTTAAGCACAAACCATATAGAAAAACTAAAGAGAAATACTATATTTAAATGTATTTTATTATAATTTAGTTGCTCTCTCTATGCTTACAAGTGGAATTTTAATTAGTGATTTTATGAGATAGTGATGTATTTTCGTCAAAAAATTCATAAATTTTCATTATATCACAATTTCATCATGAAATTAGACTCCCAATCGAAGTGGCCATTTCATGTTCCAATGAAAATATTGATAAAAGCAACTATTACGTGTAACGATATGCATATTTTTGACTTCGCTCTTAGCTACCTTTCGATGACTTCTATGTCATTTAGATATTTTTGTTGTGATTTGCTCGCATTGAACCGATTTTACAAAGGACTAAGTTAGCAGAGTTATTAAAAATTAGATTCATATGTATCAAATATTATTTATAATTACAAATCAGTGTCTGTACGAAAAAGTTTATTAAATTAAAGCAGGAATAGCTTTCAAAATTCCCATTAAATTTTTTTGATCCTGTAATATACATATCAGTAAATTGTTTCTTATCAGACTTCTATGTGTAACTTGTAAATTAAATTAATGTTACAGATTAATTCATGATGTTTTTCTTACTATACCAGTCTAATTGTTATTAAACCTTGTTGCACCGGTTGTACTTATGACTTTTCAGTTATATTTAGTTAACTTATTATCCTAATGACATTTAGATTAACTATATCCTGTTGTCTTTTGACTTATGCTTGACTTTTAAAGCACTTACATGCTGAGGCGTTAACCTGCACGTGAAATATTTTTGTTCCGTTAGTAACTAACTGTCGATTTTCATTCCAAGGGTAGAACAAATAAGTTGGTGGACAGTTGCTATTCATTTTGGCAAGGTGCTATTTTCCCAATTGTCGAGGAGTTGTTGTGGCTATCTGGTGACCTTGCTCTTAATGATTGTGATTCATTGTTTAATCCTTCTGCCTTGCAAGTAAGTTTCTTTGAGTGATATTTTAGTATATAACAGTAGGTTGTCAGTTATTGGTTAGAAATCTGTTTAGTGAATTTTAAAAACACTAGACACAATAGTCATCTGTCATCGAAAAGTGTACAAGTGTCCAATGGATTACTGAATAAATCATCTGATTTTCAGGCATTATAGATAATCTTTTGAATTCTACTTTATTTGCTTCAAGTAAACAATCGAATAGTACCGATTGATTTCACATATTAAAGTATGACTAATAGCTGTATACTCAAGTCTGTATTTATTCATTGAGTTACACATTATGCATGTTAACGTAAGTACTATAGCTCCTAACACAAATGTGTTGTTATCCCAAGTTGCCACACCACATCAACACAACAAGAAATTAGAAATAGGAGATAGGCAAAAGAACGGATGTCATTTCACCGATATGAGTTGATGATCAGAAGCGAGAAGAAATATCTATAAAGAAGTATGGAATAAAACAATCTTTAGAAATTATTGTTTCTAAATATTGATTACGGTTATTTCAGGTACTCCTACCAAGATGTCCATATTTTCTCATACAGTTCAAATCAGTAGTCATTAACTTCGTGGATTAATTCTATATATTAGTTGTATCCCTTTGACCTTCCTTCATCCTAGTAATTATTTCTGCATATCCTGTGGAGCTAGTCTATAGCTTTGATCATACTTAGTACATTCCACCTACTTTTGTGCATAAAAGTTCGCAACTACAATCAAGTTATTATTTTTACCTAGTGATTTACGACTAGAATCAAAATAGCTCACATGTTAGTTCTGTCAAATGCCAAGAATGTTCCAAAAGTATCTACAACTAAACTGTGAATTATATATATCTACTTTTCTAAAACATGTTTCACATTCGTAAAGAATGAATTGCCACGCACTAAGCTATCTCTTTGATAGATGAACGCAAATTTTCTTCATCCATGGAGGTAAACTACATCTGGAGCTATTCTAGGGTTACTGCCGGTCACAAAGCCGGATAGCTGCAAAGATACTCCACTCTGTGTTCAGAAAGATTTGGAGGGAAGAGAAAGTACCGACAGATTGGAAAGATAGACACTTGATCAATGTACCAAAGAAAGTAGATCTTATCAAGTGTGGGGACTACAGAGGTATCACTCTACTCTCAATACCAGGAAAAGCCTTCAACAGATTGTTGTTAAACCGAATGGAATATAACATAAACATCCAACTTCGAAATCAGCAGGCTGGATTCCGTAAACGTCGATCGTGCATTGACCAAATCGCAACACTAAGGATAATTGTTGAACAATCAACTGAATGGAATTTGCCACTGTACGTCAACTTCCTTGACTACGAGAAAGCATTTTACAGCGTGGACAGGATAACACTATGGAGGCTTCTTTGACACTACGGTGTAGCTCAGAAGATAGTCAACATCGTACTGAATTCTTATGATGGATTAAACCACAAAACTGCGCTCACAGACTGGTTCCTAGTGAAGACTGGTGTCGTATAAGGTTGCTTATTCTAACCTTTGCTCTTGCTTCTGGTGGTTGACTAGATTATGGAGGCGTCAATATCTCAGGGGAAACATTGGATACAGTGGATAAATCGGATGCGGCTGGATGATTTGAATTTTGAAGATGATCTAACTCTTCTATCCGACACACAGCAACATATCAGATGGAGACGGCCATTGTAGCAGCAACCTCTTCAGTAGTAGGCCTTAGTATAATACAAGGGAAAAATAAGATACTTAGATACATAACATGCAACAACAAAATCAAACTTGATGCAGATTCTAAGAAATGGAATCGCCAAGCAAGGATGACATTTATGCAATTGAAGGGTATCTCGGACCGAAAACAACTCTTTTAGCTACTCTCTTTGTTCTAACGTCTTCCATGTTATATCTAGAAGCGAGTCTATAACAAAATTAAACAAGAATTGAGAGAGTGGACAACTCTGACGGATATCACTTGAAGTAATGAATTTCGTTGACAGTTCGCCACAAGCTTTAACTTGACCAATAGTGTTCGAGTAGAGAGATCGTATAAGGTTAATGTACTTCTCTGATACACCTTACAACGACAGACACTGCCACAGAACCTCAATGTATGTCTGTGTTCCAGGACCTGTCGTAGTCTATACAGCCCCATCCAGGTCGGAAACCAGCCTGGTTTTCTCTAGTCTGCTCTTCACGAGGTCTAGTCAGGCGTCTAAGTATTATCGAGGCTAACAATTTAGACACTGCATTACTGGAAAGGGATTCCTCTGTGATTGTTAAAAGAGGGCTTTTGTCCTTTCTTATAAATTGGGACAATCAGTGATTGAGACCAGTCAGATGGGATTACGTCCAGTTCCCAGATTCTACTGAAGATCTTAGTCAATCTAGCTGCTAAAGCTGAACCACCATCCCTAAAAATCTCAGGAGTTAGCCTATCAGGATCTGCTGCTCTATCTCGTTTTAGATTTCCTACTTGATAAAGACTAGGAGGACTTATATAGATTCGACATTCAGGTTGATTGCAGATCATTGCGCAGGCTTTATATCAACCTGCGCTTAAGCTGACTTCGCTCTTCGTCATGTTCGGAGCCAGGTGGGATGAGTTTACGAGTGTCTATCAGTTAGCTGAATGCTACTGAGATTCACGGCTTCTTCCTAGCCGTATGGTTTACCCTTCTAGCAGATATTACTGCTGTTTCCACACCCTTTTTGATATCATTCCAAGCTGTCTCCGGATGGGAATCACTTACGTGGTCGCCTAACTGTCTTTTTAGTTGCTCCTGAAATATCTTCTTAGCTTCGTTATCATTAACTAGGACCCTAAGAGGTTTCCCTGCGTTTTCTTTCCTACATTAAAAGCTCCAACATGTAGTTTAGAACAGGGTTTGTAAAGCAATATATACGCTCTTAATTAAAAGGCCTTACTACCGGAAACGGGAGTCCATTCTAACCCCTTCCTTCCTTCGTTGTGAAGAGGCACCATCACCGCAGATGCTGGTTATCCGAGGGAAACAATTCACTGCTGTCACAACCCTCTACAGTCAGCAGTACGACTTCTCTCTGTGACCTTGAGTAGCTGCTTTTAGTCGCATCGTTCCCCAACGGTCTCTTTGGCATGGTAGAACCTACAGGAACGAAAGTTCCAACCAATGTAGCTCGGTTAGGTCATCACGATAGGCAAGCACGATCACCACTTCAAGGTATCACCTACGGTCGGGACAAATAAAAATATGATATTTAAAACTGTTTTTATGATGCAGTATCACATAAAATGTTCGTGAATCGAAAGCACAGCATAGTGTTAAATGCACTTATTGTTTAACCAGCATAATTTATTCAGTCTTTTTGTATTCATAAAGATTTATTGAACATCTCGCAGTACCAATATGAAGAACTTATCGATAATTAAAATGTTCCTTGTTTGCCCTAACCTTTGTGTTTAGAAATCTTTTGACAAATTATAATCGTCTGGTCCATGTGATTACCTTTTTCGACTCCTACCAAACTGTAAACCTTTTGATGTAACAGATAAATATTAAAAACTTGACTGTCTCTTGAATAGCTGTATGGTTCTTAACCATTTTATGTATGATTCTTGAATTTCCCAGTGAGCAATACATCGTTTTGTAACATAGACATAATGAAGAGAAATGAGAAATTATTAGTACCAGTACAGAAATGCAAGTTTATTCCCTGAAATATTATTCCATTCTATTTAGGCTGTTGGCCTAATCCTTTCAAAATTTAGAGTACTTTTTAAAGATATGTTGCTGAGTTTTCTAAAACCAGTTTCCTATGTCACAATCAGAAGGATCGTCCTTATGATAAAAAAAGTTAATTTCCACGGTTGTAATAGACTTATCAAATTGAACAGGTTAACGAACCACAGTCTTGTTCCAATTATACTATGCAATAACATGGTATATTTTACTGAATAGCAGCTAGTCAGTTATTCATCCTAAGAATGATTCATTTATTGCTGTCTTAGTGCCAGCTGCTCTAACTAATGAGAACTGTTTGTGAAAAAAATTATACCTTCCCAAGCCATTTAACTAACTGTTTATTTACTCGTTATTTAATGGTATTAGTTTATCCCATAAAAGTTGGACTAATTTTATAGACCAAGAAAAAAGTGGAAATTTACTAATTCACAATTTTACTCTTTACTAGGAATATATACTGCTCTGTTGCCAAAAGGTTTCTTACACTCGTCCAGGTCTAAGCGTGCATGCAGATGACTCTTCAGGTGGAAAATTATCGTCTTCAAATAAAAATATTACGTCCGAATACGATGTATCTACTTGTGATGGTGGATTAATCGATAAACCCGGGAAAAATCCGGATGCATATCACACGTGTTACTCGTTGAGTGGATTGAGTATAGCACAACACTCTCCTCGTTGCCGGATGAAATCGTACCAAAATCCTAATCTTCCTCACCCATCATGTGCTGTGGATGTATTAGGTGAAGAATCGGGTAATGAACTGGTTGACTTAGATCCTGTTCATAATATCATACATGACGGTTTGGCATTCATTGTCACATACTTTTCTGAACTAGATAATGGCCATTCACCAATATATGCTGAGAAATTAGCGAAGGCAGCAGCTGAAGAATACTCTATGCCTGCACCATTAATACAAACACAGAGAAATGTTACAGAGGTTTATGCTTGTGATACTAGTGATGATGAACCCGCCGCCCCCCCGCATTCTCAATCAATGAACACTTGTACAACACCGTGAATACTTTGTAAGATTTTTTATTTTTCACAATAAAATGTACTTTCACAGCTTGATTGCTATCAGTTTTTGATGTAGCATTTTTCGCAAGTTTATGCTTTGTCTACAGTTGGGGAGACAGTATTGCGCTTTTCTGGGAGACCATATATTACCGTTGCACTGATAACTAATATGGATCCGATAAATAAATACCTAGATAGTGGTTTTGTTTAAGAAAATAAACCAAAGTGTTAATACCAAATGTCTATAACATCAATCAAAGATTTAAGTTGAATATATTACTCACTTAGTATTAGGCCTTTTAGTTCAGGATTTCGGTCATCTGTCTGTTAATAACGTATCCTTTTTGTAGTACGAAGCAAATTAAAAGTTCGCACTACTACATGTGAATGCATAATACATTGAACTTAACTAATTACACAACCTCATCGTCAGATTGTGAGTGATTTTTGATAAACAGCACTTATTAAATAACGAAAGCTTCTAAAATACCTGTAACATTTTGAGTGAATAGATGTATTTTTAACGAACAAACTCTCATATATGCAAAACTAGTTAAATATATTTCATGACCAAATGAGTTAGCTAACACTGTTCTATTTATTGATCGGTTATTACAGGAGCTACAAATATAAGTGTACTTAGTTTACGAATTGTATTTAAAGTGCTTCTACATTTTGAACAGTACTCAATGCTAGCATTCATTCAACTAGGTACTAAAGGTTGAAGAAAACAAAACTAGGCTCACGCTTACGTGTTTGGAGTGAAGTCATCAAATAAGAAATAGGATATGAAAGATGACAGAATCATTGATAGACCCATAGAGAAACCCTTCAAAATATTATCAGCATATCTCATGACAAATGCTATTGTTAACCCTCCAAATGCCTGAAGGATAACTACAATCCAAACGATAGGTGTATAACCGTGAAAAAAGCCCAAAGTTTTGACTTTTGGTGCATCATTAACGAAGACTCCAAGCAGACCGATTGGCACACCGAAAAGAGCTAAAATAAATAGAGAAAATCACTATTAAATATCACTATCCATACAGATGTATTGAAAAAGCTTTATTCATTGATGAGTAATAGGTCCGTAGTCAGTACCGTAGCTTTAGCATCTTGGTGGTGATATAGCAGATGTCTCACTCTAGATTAGCGTTATCATGGTGAAGCTTTTTCGATAATGACTGCCACTGGTGTTGCAGTCGTGTTGCTGTGAGACGTCAGGATGTCGTCTGAATTTTCAGTAGACCTTTTACCTGCTGGCTCGCTTATTGACTTAGAATATGCCCATGACATTGTCCTACTTGGTGAAGACGCTGACAAAATGCAGAGTCTTCTGATCACCCTAAGCAACAATGCAAGCATGTTCAGGATGCGGTTCTCACCCTCGAAATGCAAAATGTTGCTTCAAGATTGGGTTTCATCGGCACCTAAACTAGTGATAAGGAGTGAAGTATTCGAGCGTGTTGACCGCCTCACTTATCTTGGGAGTCTCATCAGTGCTGATGGCCAAGTGACTGACGAAATCTCAGAAAGCTTGACTGGCTTTTGCCAACCTGCGTCACTTATGGCGAAGGCGAGTGTACTGTGCAGTAGTTCGCTCCGTCCTACTATATGGCTGTGAAACATGGCAAGTCAGAGTAGAAGATAATCGTATGTTACTGGTTTTCGATCATAGATGTCTCCGAAGGATTGCTCGTGTATCCTGGGACAACCGACTAAGCAATGCAATCGTTAGGAAACTAGTACTAGGTAAAAATAGTAAATCAATAGGTGAAATATTGAAATTTCATCAGTTGAGGTGGTTGGGACATGTGTTACGTATGCTCAACCACCGACTGTCTCGTCAAGCGATGTTTTGCGGTGTAGGGGTGGGTTGGAAGGAACCAGGAGCGACCAGACCAAAATATGGCACAAATCCATGAGGTCACTGACAAGTGAACTGAATCATGTTGGTAGGTGTCTACTACCTGCTTGGTGTTCGCGAAACGATAGTAATCGACGGTTAGAGACCCTGAATGGCATGGTGCATCCACTCTTTGTGTTCTCTAAAATTATAATCTTCCGAATTCCTCATCGCTTTGTCTTTTTCTTTTTAAGTTTATTTCACTAGATTCTACTTCTTGAACAATATCTTCGAACCCTAATCTCTCCCATTATTGCCAACACTTCTACCTCTACCATTATGGGATTTGAATTGACAATTGCGTCTCTGTGCTAATGTGGTATGTCAACCTGAACTGATGTACGTACGTATGAAGTTCTACGTTGTAACCGACTTACTTGCAGCCTTATACTTTTCGATAAGTTCGGCAAACTTGAAATCACGTTTAATTTTATTAGATAGTTACCTTTGTCCATTCAACTCACTTTGATTACCAGAGAAAAAAGTGGCTAGCAAGTTTGATAGGCATTAACAATCGGGGTTAGTAGCCAGTGTTTTTTTAGGAATGTAGGATTAGCTCAACTCCGCCAGCAGAACCTTCGGGGCTACTGCCGGTCCCAATCCCGGGTAAAGGAGAAGGGTTGGACATGGGGTTGGCGACCCCATTCCGTCGATATCTAACTTGCCAAAAAAACGCTAACCAGAAAAAATAATTCAAACCACTTTAACTCTGCCCTGGGAGTTGGAAGAAGAATTATGACGTCGCGTGATGAAAGCCGAGTTCCCTCGGAAGTCACGGGGCCGATGCCTTTTCTGACAACCAGCGCAACCATTGAAAATATCTGGAACTCCAAACAACTTTAAACTAAAACCAAAATCAGGATTTTCAATACAAATGTCAAGACAGTTGTACTGTATGGAGCGGAAACTTGGAGAACTACGAAAGGCATCATCCAGAAGATACAAGTGTTTATTAACAGCTGTCTACGCAAAATACTTCGTATTCGTTGGCCAGACACCATCAGCAACAACGAACTGTGGGAGAGAACAAACCAGATTCCAGTGGAGGAGGAAATCAGGAAGAAGCGGTGGAAGTGGATAGGACACACACTACGAAAAGCACCTAACTGGGTCACGAGACAAGCCCTCATATGGAACCCTCAAGGAAAAGGAAAAGAGGAAGGCCAAGGAACACATTACGCCGTGAAATAGAGAAAGATATGAGAGCATTGGACAGAACATTGGACAGAACTTGAGAGGGAAGCCCAGGACAGAGTTGGTTGGAGAAAACTGGTGGGCGGCCTATGCTGCATTGGGGGTAACAGGCGTAAGTAAGTAAGTAAGTAGGATTAGCTCGTATTTTGTCTCACCTAACTGTAAGTTTCGCATCCAGATTGAAGTTGATGTTCCTTTAAATATTTTCTCAAGGTAAACACCAGCAAATCCACTAGTGAAAGAAGCCAGTAGAATTGCTAATAACCCATACAAATTTGAGCGGAATTCACCACTTGATGTTGATTGATCTAATGAAGGCAACTACAAGTGAAACCAATGAGAAGGATATATCACAATCAATAATGTTAAGATGTTTCAAATGATTAATTCTAATAGTGATGCTACGGCTATGTATGCTATAAGCTTAATGCTTTCAATCGTCGGTTTTCAACCACTAGATTTGAACCAGATTTCAATAATATCAGTTTGGAAAGAAATGTAGCATCACTAGCTCTCGTGCGAAACCTATGCTTGACAAGCGGGTTACACTATCACTTAAGCACAATTATAAGTACAAAGAGGAACTTAATTATTTATGTGCCCATAAATCGATGGGTTTGTTTATGTCATAGCATACCACTCGTGTGCCCAAACGGTTTTCTTAAGGGATTAATTCCTGAGCCTTCTATCTATAGGTCTAGTCCACAAGGCAGTAGAGCGACATCAAGAAAACAATCTTATAGCAGCAGGTGACCAAGAATAAATTCATCCATTGTCTGTCCCCTCTGGATCTCACCATTGATTCAAAATCAGGCTTTCCAGACTCAACTAGGTACATAAATACATACATACCGACCCGGTCACTTAATTTTCGTTTTATCGATTTCGTAAACAATACCGTTGCCACGTGAACTAGCAAGTAGGACTTCTCCGGGAGGCCAAGGACAGAGTAGGTTGGAGGATACTGGTCGGCAGCCTATGCTCCAGCAGGTAATTATGTTAATTTACCTGTTCTAGGTTTACTATTTTAGTTAGATGGGGTCTAAAGTATCGAGTTTTATTTGTGGGGTCAGTTGAAGGCTACACAGATGCAGTAGTTATTTCTATATTATTAATCGAAATTCCCAAAACGTCGACAAGAACAAATGCAGTTATATGGTTTATATAATGTCTGTATATCAGTTTTATTTATGTTTCTAACTGTAGGTTGAGGCGAAGAAGTTTGTATCAAGTCCTGAGCGACCCACAAATACTTGCATAAAAGAAGAGTGATAAACTTGGAATAGTCACTCAGTTATAATCAACATAGAAACTGGGATAAATGTGTGCCAATCCAAGCTGAACCATGGAATAAATTAGAAGAAAATACTAAACTTAGGCTTTGTTCTAGGTTTCACTGTCGAATCTATTAAAACCATCAAATAACGCTTAATCAACCGCAAGGAAGGAAATCTTCCAACGGAAATGAGGTTAATCACATCACTTAAAGAACAAGGTAACAAAGTATACAGTATTTATTATGAAATCTTACCTGTGTCAAGACAATACCCGTACTGAGTAATAAAAGGGCAAACCATTGAGTTGAACGTAAGCGTTGATTTAATAATAATATCATAAATATAGCGGTGGTGAATATTTTACTTTGGTAAAGTATTTGATATAAAACAGCATTCAAATGTGAAATAGCAAAATATAATAAATTATTCTGTACAGTATAAAGAGTTGACGGAATTATAATTTGAATCATGTCATAATACTGAACGATTATATGATTATAAATTGATGTAATACTGTTTTTAATTTGACCTGAAATACAAAGCAAAACAACAAAGAATGAACTAGTCTACAGTTTCGTTAATAAATTAAATTAAAATGAAATAAATAAACATACAAATTTATTTCAATAATAATTTTCTACAGAACAAGCTGTAGTTTAATGTGTTTAAAGGATTCAAATCTATACTATGGGTTGGAGACGAACTTTAATTATCGAGTTTTGGACAAGCACTCAGCTTACATAGGAATTTTTGACCTGGGTACAAAAACCTAGAGGTAATTTAAAGATTTCACTCACTATCTAAGAACGTCTGCATAGTTAGATGATTTTACCTACCAATTTACGGTATGAGTAATTCGCAGAAAACGAATGACCAGCTACCATAGATAACAAGAAACGACTTTTCCATTCCATGATTTCTCGGTTTAGAGTTTAATTATCTGTAAATAAACCCATTAAATTATTTACTATTACGTCCTGTATGACAATCAGCAAACTATAGTGACATCTGATTTAATTTCAAGTCTGGTAGCTAATCATGATTAACAGTGTCGAAATCACCATGCTTGACGTTATTAAGAGATTATGCTCTCTTCCTATGGCAGGGCAACCAAAGATAAACGTTTTGGAAGGAGAGGAGCAAGCCCTGCGTGCGCTGAACTTGCAAGGTGATTCATAAGACTATTTTGTAAATAAACCATTCCCTTTGTACAAAACCCGCGTATTCTAACTTTCCATCTTGGTGTGAAGCTCTTAATTAATGTTACGTGTTGTGGTTTCAGGTCTTCTCCACTCTTTAGTGGTTGCTGATTACACGTGTTACAACCAGATAACTTGTTTACATGTTTACGAAGTAGTTCTTCATAACATTTCTCCTTTAAAAAAAAAGCCTTGAGTTATACCAAAGTAGATTTGTAATTTATTTATAATTTTTGTAAAATAAGAAACCAAAATACTGCATAAATGAAGTTGTATTATCATTAGGAAAAAAACGTTAATCAAGAGACTAGACAGAAAGTGAGTCAGTCAGTCATATGCAACGTAGAACTTCGTACGTAAGTACATCATTTCATGTTGCCACACCACATTAGCACAGAGATGTAATTGTCAATTCAAATCCCATAATAGTAGTAGACGTAGTAAAGGTATTCGAAGTAATCGGAGAGGTTAGGATGAGAAGATATTATTCAAGAAGTATGATTAAATGAGAAAAGTTTAGAAAGTCAAAACTAGAGGGGTTGAAGAATCCACAAGATTAGGATTTCAGAGAACACAAAGAATAAATGCACCGGCGCCATTGCGAACGATTTTGAGCCATGTCATTCAACGTCTCTAACCATCGATTATCATCTCGCGGACCCCAACGACGTAGTCGACAACTACCGACATGGCTAAGTCCACTCGTCAATGACTTCATAGATTTCTGCCATGTTTTGGTTTGGCCGCCCCTAACTTTCTTCCAACCTACTACTACACTACAAAATAAGGCTCGTCGAGGCAGTCGGTGGTTAGGCATACGCAACACATGTCCCAACCACCTCAACTGATGAAGTTTCACCACTTCATCTATTGATCTGCCATTCTTACCTAGCACCCGATTCCTAACAACAGCGTTGCTGACTCGGGTGTCCCACGATATACAAGCAATGCTTCGAAGACACCTATGATCGCAAACCAGTAACCTACGAATATCTTCTACTCTCACTGGCCATGTTTCACAGCCATTAAGTAAGACGGGGCGAACCACTGCACAGTACACTCGTCCTTTAGTCAGCAAACGGATATCTCGCCTTCGCCATAAGTGACGCAAGTTGGCAAAAGCCAATCGAACCTTCTGTATCCGAGCTGAGATTTCGTCAGTCACCAGGCCATCGGCAATGACGAGACTCCCGAGATAAGTGAAGTGGTCTACACGTTCGACTACTTCACTCCCTATCACTAGTTCAGGTGCCGATGCAACCCAATCTTGAAGCAACATTTTGCATTTCGACTTGGAGAACCGCATCCCGAACATGCTTGCATTGTTGCTTAGTGTGGTCAGAGGACTGCATTTTGTCAGTGTCTTCACCAAGTAGGACAATGTCATGGGCATATTCTAAGTCAATAAGCGAGCCACCTGGTAAAAGGTCTACTCCTGAAAATTCAGACGAGGATAACGTTATTTCTAGGAGCATGTCTATGTTAAAATTAAACAAAAATGGAGAAAGTGGACATCCCTGACGGACACCACTTGAAGTGAAGAATCCCGGTAACAGTTCGCCATAAGCTCTCACTGGACCAGTGGTGTTCGAGTAGAGAGCTTGTATGAGGTTAATGTACTTATTTGGTACACCTTTCAATGACAGACACTGCCACAGAACCTCACCATTCACAGAGTCAAATGCCGCTTTTAGGTCCAGGAAAACAACTATTGTAGGACGTCTAAATGTGTGTCTGTGTTCCAAGACCTGTCGTAGTGTGAAAATGTGGTCTATACAACCACGTCCAGGTCGAAAACCAGCCTGGTTTTCTTTAGTCTGCTCTTCACGAGCTTTTGTTAAGCGTCGAAATATTACTGAGACCAATATTTTAGATACTATATTAGTTGGACTTATTCCCCTGTGATTGTCACAAGAAGACTTTTGTCCTTTCTTGTAGATTGGGACAATCAGTGATTGAGACCAGTCGGATGCGATTGCGTCCAGTTCCCAGATTCTACCCAAGATCTCGGTCAACCTAGTTGCTAAAACTGGACCACCATCCTTAAATATCTCAGGGGTCAGTCCATCAGGACCCGCAGCTCGCCCTCGCTTCAGATTTCCTAACGCTTTCTCAACGTCATTAAGACTAGGGGGACTTACGTCGACTTGCCATTCAGGATGACTGGAGATCGTGGGAAACTGAAGAGTGGCTCGAGGCCATTTGAACCGATCCCTAAAGTGTTCTGCCCATCGATCCAGTCTCCTGGATTGAGAATAAATAATAGTCCCGTCATTTTCCGAGATAGTCTCACTTACACTAGGATTCCTAATACCAGTTTCCTTGATAAGTCGGAAAAGTTGTCTACTGTTGCCGATCGCCGCTGCCTTTTCCATCGCTTTTGCTTTCGCCACCCACCACTGTTCGCGATCGTTACGTAGGCTTTTCATAAGTCTGCTCCTAAGTTGACTTCGTTCTTCATCATGTTCAGAGCCAGGTGGGATGAGTTTTCGGGTATCCATCAGATCGGTGGATGCTACTGAGATCTACGGCTTCATTCTAGCCTTATGGTCAACCTTACTAGCAGATATCACTGCTGTTTCCACAGCCTTCTTTATATCATTCCATCCTGCTTCCGGATGGGAATCGCTTATATGATCGCCTAACTGTCTTTCTAGTTGTTCCTGAAATATATTCTTCGCATTATTATTATCATTAAGTAAAACCCTAAGAGGCTTTCTTACAGTGTCTTTCCTACGGCCAGTAAGCTTCAAACAAATACGCGCTCGCACTAGGGCATGATCTGAAACTAAACATGTGCCCCAGAACGAGCGACAGTCTTCTATCGAACCCCTCCATCGGTGGCTGATGGCGATGTGATCTAGTTGCGTCCAACATTGAGACGACTTTGGAGGTCGCCAGGTCAACAGATGCTTTTCCTTATGCCTAAAGTTAGTGTTTGCTAAGAATAGGCGGTTGTCTGAGCATACTTGCAACAGACGGTCACCATTGTCTGTTCTCTGAGCCGCGACACCATAACATCCACCTAGGTGTCTTTCATTTCCACTTAGTCTACTTACTTGAGCATTAAAGTCACCAGCCATTAATACTATATCAGAGTGCCTAGCTTTTTGGAGGAGGTCCGAAAGCTTTCTGTAAAACTCATCTTTTAAATCGTCTAAACTGCAGTCAGTGGGGTCATAGGCAGACACAATGAAGAGGCAACGGCGATTGTCCCTATCTTTCCGAGTCCTTACTGTCCCATTTAGTTGGACAGCGCACAAGCGACTATCTACTGGGGTCCAGTCAAGGAGAGATTGTTCTGCCCTACGACTCAATGCTATGCCTACGCCAGCAAGACCCCTGGAAGCAGCATCAGGGCTACCGGATACACGATGAGTAAATCGAGCTGCTTCTTTATTTTGACAAGGTGAAATCAGATTAATAATTTTACTAAGATCCTGTATGCGCGTTTCCGAGACGCAGCATACATCGATGGGGCGAGATTCTAAAGTCCTAGCTAATGATGCCTGTTGCCCTACTTGACACAATATCCGTACATTAAATGCTCCAACATGTAGTTTAGAACGGGGTTTAAGGAGACCAGGAACGACGTTTTGCGAGCTCGTGTCGTCTGCATTAGCTGTGCACTGTGATAAATGAATGTGAGAAGAGTTAGTCGTGGAGATAAGAGAGGTACTAGGGGGTGTAGGAAGGATTTGATTTTGACCAATTTGGTCTCGCGTGCTGTTACGGGTATGAGGGGCGTTGTCACTTCCCGGCTGCCCACACCGTGGAAGGTTGTTTCTTGAGGAACCTGAAAAGGAAAATAGATTAGTGTTGGTCTTAGAGACCTGGGTGGGTGACCGCAGAGCCCAAGGGACAACTGCTTGAGGCCGGTCACGCACGGCGTTTTTATGAAACTTTTTTTGAGGATTAGCTCCGTTCTTAAAGGCCCTTAGCGGGCACCCTTAACCAAGGAGACGGAAATCCGTGAGTTGGGGGAGGTGTGACATTTTTGGGGCCGACCTTTTCTAACCCTTCCTTCCTTGTGAGAAGGCAGCATCGCTGCAGATGCTGGTTGTCCGAGGGAAACACCTTACTGCTGTCACACCCCTCTACAGTCAGCAGTACGACTTCGCCCTCAGACCTTGGGTAGCTGCTTTTAGTCTCATCGTTCTCCAGTCGACCAGCCTGGCATGGTAGGACCTGCAGGAACATATGTTCCAGCCAGTATAGCTCGGTTGGGTCATCACGATAGGCAAGCCCGACCACCACGTCAAGGTAGCAGCTACGGTCGGGTCATCGGCATATCCCAAGTCAACAAGTGAGTCTCCTGGTAGGTCTACTCCTGAAAAGTTAGATGAAGATAATGTTATATCTAGAAGCAATCCCATGATAAAATTAAACAAGAATGGAGAGAGTGGAAATCCCTGACGGATAACACCCGAAATAATCAAATCCGATGACAGTTTGACATAAGCCCTAACTCGACCGGTAGTGTTCGATTAGAGTGCTTTTCCAAGGTTGATGTACTTCTCTGGTACACTTTTCAATGACATACACTGCCACAGAACCTCACAATCGATACAGGCAAACGCCGTTTAAGTTCGAGAATTACTATTATCATCGGGCGTCGGAACGAGTGTCTGTGTTCTAGGACTTGACGTAGTGTGAATATCTGATCTATACATTCACATCCAGGTCGAAAACCAGCATGGTTTTCTCTAGTCTGCTCTTCACGAGGTCTAGTCAGGCGTCTAAGTATTATCGAGGCTAACAATTTAGACACTATATAACTGGAAAGGGATTCCTCTGTGATTGTTACAAGAGGGCTTTTGTCCTTTCTTATAAATTGGGACAATCAGTGATTGAAACTAGTCAGATGGGATTACGTCCAGTTCCCAGATTCCACCAAAATCTCAGCCAATCTGACTGCTAAAACTGGACCACCATCCTTAAAAATCCCAGGGGAAACATATTGGACCCTGCTGCAAGCCATCGCTTCAGATTTCCTATAACTTACTCAACTTCAAAAAGACTCGGACGACTTAAATCGATTTGCCATTCAGGTTGATTGCAGATTTTAGGTAACTGAAGTGTAGCTGAAAACCAGTTGAACTGATCCCTGGAGTGTCCTGCCTTTTGATCCAATTTCCTGGTTGAGAATGAATAACGAGACCACGTGTCCCGAAATAGTCTCACTTACATTCGTTTCCTTGATAATTCTGAATAGTTGTCAACTGTTGCCTATCGCCACTACCTTTTGCATCTCTCTCGCCTTCGCTGCCCACCACTGTTCGCGATCATTGCGCAGGCTTTTTGTTAGCCTGCGCTTAAGCTGATTTCGCTCTTCGTCATGTTCAGAGCCAGGTGGGATGAGTTTACGAGCGTCTATCAGTTCGGTGGATGCTACTGAGATCCGCGGCTTCTCCCTAACCTTATGCTTTACCTTGCTAGCAGATATTACTGCTGTTTTCACGGCGTTTCAGATATGATTCTAAGCTGACTCCGGATGGGAATCACTTACATAGTCGCCTAACTGTTTTCCTAGTTGTTCCTGAAATACATTCATGCATACAGACATGTGATCTAGTTTGGCCCAACGTTGATTCAGCTTTTTAGGGGTCGCCAGGTAAAGAGATGTTTTCCAATATGCATAAAGTTATTGTTTGCTAGAAACAGGTGATTATCTGAGCATAGCTGCAGCAGACGGTCGCCATTATCTGCTCTGAGCCACAACACTATAAGATCCACCCTGGTGTCTTTCCTTTTCACTGAGTCTATCTACTTGAACATTGAAGTCACTAGCCACTACTACTATATCAGAGCGCTTAACTTTTTGGAGGAGGTATGATAAATGAAGACTTAGCATGCACCAAATTCGTGTTATTAACGTGATTTACTTTTGATTATTCAGTAGGTCAACTGCACGTTTTTATTATGTGATATGTATGAGTGTACATAGAATTTTCTTAAATTAGAAAGTGAAAATAATTTCTTAAAAGCAAAACACAAATATTGTACTAAATGAATGATGTAAGAAAGCAAATAATAGACTAGTAATTTAATTGAATATGTGAGCACAGGTTAACTGAATGTGCAGTAAATTGGTGAATAAAAAACTGTATGCACTAAAATATTATCTGTATAATCAACAAGCAAAACATTTTGATATTCAAAGATAAGGATTAAATGAATAGTATTTACCTTCTTGGAACAAAACCAAAAACGCCGACAGCAGAAGCTTTAAAAACTCACTACATACAACAACTGTTGAAGATGAGTACAACTCTGAATTTTGGCCAGTACGTGAAACGCGCATCAATAAAATTAGGCAAGAAGTTTGACATGTCAAGAAAACAAGACTGCCACATTTTATCCAAACTTTTGAAGGTATGTCCTACAAAAGCAAACCGATAAACAAGAATTACATTGGTAAGGAAAACATTAAACAACAAAAAGTACGTAAAATATAAATCATCAACAATCCACACAGCATCATCCGTACTTATACACAGTATATGTGCATTTGAGTCCCTGGCTAGGAGCGTACTTTTATTGAGTAAACTATTAAACTAATAATTGAGGATATATTGTATCCTATTTGTCGAGACAGAGAGAGGCAACTAAACAAAAATTCTCAAATCGTTTATATACATTCTTACTTAGCAAATAAACAAGGGTTAATGGAAATATACCTGGCTGATGTCACATTAACCCTACAGCTTAGTGCGACAGCGATAACATGGTATACCAGGATAAGTACACTTAGAATAGTTATAAAGTCGACAGAAAGAGAATGAATCAGCAGTATTTCACTGAAATAATGAGTAACAGTTTATAAGACACAGTACACATCAAAGAAAAACGTTATATGATGAGCGAAAAAACAGCACACGTGTATTTGAAATCTCTGCAGTAAATTCAGTGAGAGCTTTGTTAAAGCAACAATGTGGAAGAGAACTGATAATAAAACTATATTGAAGGCAAGTAGAGTGATTTAGTTATTAAAGCACACAAACAGCTGTACGAAGGGGGAAAATCTAAAACAATAATTTTAAAACATGGGCGACAGTTTCCAATTGTTGAAATATTTAACTGCTGGGATAATAAACATGTTACTGGTACTTGTGGTTCAGAAAGCTGTTTTTCGACTTCAAAGTAATCTAAAACCTGGCATTGCTGGGCCCTGATGGGTTCGATCTAAAACCGTTGTCATCACTAGCGAGATTTCAATGTTTTTCACTGTTTCTTTTTCAAAATCGAATTTCAAGAACTTGAAAGTATGTCATCATCTGTTATATTTTCTAGGAATGTGAAGAGACAGCTTGTGTCTAACTACCACTGTCCCAGTTAAGGTATTGGAAATTACTAATTCACGTAGGATAAAATAATCTATTAACTTCAGGAACACTTGGGTTTCGGAATAGAAACTCCTGCAAGACGAGACCATAAAACGGCTTAAGATAACGATTTTCTATTCAACGCAATATAAACAGATTCCCAATATTTGATATGGTATTTTGCGTAAGGCCTATAAGGAGCTTTCTAACTTTAGAATAATAGGCACACGACAAGACTGCAAAATGAGCTTTCTTCGTGACTGAAGATAGAAAGTGAGAGTAAATGGAACTGTTAAAAGTGGTGTCTTTAAAAGGAATATCTTAGCTGCCACTTTATTTTTACTGTGCCAATTAAGACTATTGACATTTAACTATAAATTATGTAACCATTTGGAGATGTTGATAATCTTAGTCTCCAAGCTTATTCAGGCAAATGAGTTAAATCGTCATAAATTTCGGGTTTTTAGCTCAGTTCTGGTGTGTTAATGTTGGCGAATACAACAATACACAACAGTATATCAATGGGAAACAATTTTTACGAGTGCATAAAAAAATCTATGGATAATTAGAAGCCATAAATTAGAAACGACTGTGCGATGCAGGACAACTGCTATAAGCTCTTTATTGTTATGTCACTTAGCAGTTTCCAATGGCTTGACGAGGACATTTTCTGGGTTTTCTACTTCATTTATGTGAAACCCCATTTAGAATACTGTATCCAAACAGCTAATTTATATTTTTCTGAGGATGCTGATAAACTTAGGCGTGTCTAATTTGTGGGAACTAAGTTAGTGGTAGACCTCTACTGAGACGAGCGATCACAATACTTAGACATTTTCCTTTCAACTTATACTAGAACTCAAAGCAATTTCATTTTGGCGTTTGGTATTTTAAATAATGATTCAGGTGCTAACTTGTCTTTTTACTAACTTCAATCACCCTATGTTAAACCAAAGAAGCTAATATAAAGCGCAACCGGGTACACACTGGATGGGATTCTGCACCCTTAATAAGTGGTAGAAGACTGGGGAGCCCTACCTAATTAAGTGATAATGGTATCACCATTGGACGCTTTTGAATAAACCGGATCTTCATTGGAAAATACAACAAAACTGCTAACGTGAGCAGACTAACCTACCATTCTTGTTAATGGAAGCCAACTATCATGTGACAAAACATATAAAGGAAGCCGATGTTCATCAGAATATCAGTATCGCGCTCTTCAGGCGTACAGTGTCTAATACATGATCAGGCATATTTAGTAGATGATATGATCAAAAAGATGACCGGTTTTCGAAAAAATCATGACACTTCAGGAGCAACAAAGTCGGAGTTCACAAGTTATGACTGGGAGCTAATATTACAACGACTAACTCACTTAACCACTGATACTAAACATTTAGTCGAAGTTGACACAGATGGTAAGGAAGTACATTTACCACCGCCATGTGTATATGCTTCCAAAGGACAATCAGGAAGTCGCACGTTAGTTTAATTAACTACGCGATTGAACACTCAGAAAATTGGTGGGCATATACACTAAACTAAGTTTGTGAACAATGATGATTACGCCCTGATTTATTGGATAAAAACTTTCAAGATTGCAGTTGAACTGGCTGAGTACATTGGGCATAGGGCTGACGGAGAAAATAAATCCCTAATGATTCACATAGTGGTTTTGCATAGTTGTTAAGAATTTATAAAATACAATCGCATTTTAGCCATAAACCCCCTCATAATCAAACATTTTCATCAACACCAAAAATTAGTTCAGGGTTGTTTAAATAATTAAGTACGTCCGACCATCATTCTGGATAAGTTAGAAAAACAGTTCTAATTTATAAGATTAGAGAACCAAACTCAAGGCTTTTCATCAACTAGCTAGACTATTCAACACCAAAAAGCTTATGCATCATGCTAGATATAATATCCAAAGTTTCATATTTCTCAGTAGGTGATCAGTAAGTTTCCTATGCACCAAACGTTCCGCGCACAAACTTCAACACGAGAGCTAATATTGAAAAATCCCTCTTCAGTTACGACCTTTGTTAAGTCATTTCAGTTATGCATTCAAACCAAATTTCGAGGATCTCACAGTTTTGCTACAATTTAGTGTGTGAATCCAAAGTCTCAATGAACGTCTGATATAATATATCAATAAGACTTTTCAGTGAAGTCCATCGGTTATTTTCCAATATCCAATATCTTTTTTACGAGCTAGTGTAAACCAGTTTGATTTCTTCACGCTCGATTCTTGTTCTTTCGGTACGGTTCCAGGTGTTCAGTAATGTCCAATGGATGGAGGTCTAGCCACTCGACTGTCTAATTCTAGTCAGTTGGCAGTTGGTTGTGAGTTTGTATGTCTCGGGATTTGAATGAAACGTTTGTTTCAGGGCATTAGGGTTTCTGGATACTAGCAGCCGTCACATTACCAAACCGGAGATCAGTTAGTTGCAATGTGGAGAGTAATAAGGGTAATAAGGATAAAATTGAAATGATAATATGAATAAAATTTCAGAACTGAGTAATATGTAGATGAATTTAGTTTGTTAATTGGTAGTGAGGATTGTGAGAGAGGACCGAAGTGTAAGCAAGGGAGAGGAATAGGCGAGATAGATTAATTGAGTGATCTGAGGAGATGGCAATGGTAACAACTAGCAGGTCTCAAGATATGCATCAGGCACAGCTTGTCCAAGAGGGGGATGACAGTCCGCATGTGAGTACGTGATTATCAAGTCTCTTCTTAAAGCAGTCCACTGAGGGGGCTGTAACTACCTCGGCTGGGAGAGCATTCCAAGTTGCGACGACTCGTAATGAGAAAAAGTGTGCAGGAACCTGAGTGTTTGCTCTTTGATGTGCAATCTTTTGAGGATTGCCTCGAGGGGAGTGGTGGTGGTGCATCGGTAAGATGCTCACATTGGGATGGTTGGACGTGTTTAATATGGTGTACGCCATAATCAGGTCACCTCTGATTCTCCTGTAGCTCAGTGGGAATAATCCCAAGAGCTGGAGTCTATCGTGGTAGGGTTTATTTTTCAACCCTATCACCCATTTTGTTGCTCGTCTCTGCACTCGATCCAAGAGATTAATGTCTCTTTTAAGCAGAGGGGGTGCGATGATGTTGTGAACCTCCAAGTGTGAGCGCGCGTACGTCTTAAACAGGGTTAAAAATAATTTCGGGGTGATAGCAGCAAGCTGTCTTCGCATAAAGTGAAGAGTCGCATTTGCCTTGGCTGCATCCCCTAAATAGTTCGGACTCGTGTGGAGGCTTTCTGTGGTTGTTAAACCAAGATCGCGCTCTGAGGAGACATTAGGGAGCGGACTTCCATTAAGAGTGTAGGTCGTTTGCGTCATATGAGGCAGGAAATGCATGACGTTCTTAAATCCATTCAAAATTTTATTCTGAAGGAGACTAGTGAAAACACTCACACTGTAAATTAGAAGACATAGTGAAGATTACAATATACACACGTACAAATAAAAGCCATCAAAACTCGATGGCAGGTGTTTCTGTCCAAATTTTGTGAATAAGACTTCGATATTCAGCTGCAAACTTTAATTCCCTGGTATTCTACATTACGTATGTATATATGAGGTAGGTGTGTATCAACTAAACAACTACCAAGGCAGATTTTGTGGTCATGATCACCGGATGAACTAAGAATTGCAAATGCGGATGTTTTTTAATCAAGCGGATAAATGTTAGACTTAGAAGTTTCATTTTTTGTAAAAGTTCTGAAATCTCACAAAGTTATCCATTCACGGTCATAAATTTCGCCACTTACCGCTGTCATTGACAGTACTGTTCAAACACTCCTCGTTTTCACCTAATCAGCTACAAGGTGAATAAATCTAAGATATGATTGATGCCTAAGTTCTAATATCATAACGATATTCTCATTACTCGATTGTATTTATCATACATCATTCTGGTTCATATGTGGATTATATGTGGGTAATTTTGGATACTTCTTATAATTGTGACAGAGAAGACTGAAACACAAATCTTGCTGATAACCTAAGTAACGTTCCCCACTACTTTTGTGTGCAAATTATGTAATTATTGAGTATCACTGAATGTTGTTGATTACTTTTGGAAATAATTTTATCGCGGTCTTGAAAGTGACTAGCTTTTGGTCTATAGCGGTGACCTAGTCGAGATCGACTACGATCACCACCAAATAATTAATACTATCCCATCAACAACTTAAGAAATAAATTCATGGTTGATCATATATTTGAAAGAGAAAGTAGGCGTCACATCAAGCAGCAAGTTATGGAAGATGGCAGCAACGCGAAGAAGAACGTCGCGCTCAGGTAAGTGTTTTTGGTACAGTTAAACAAAACGAGTACAATAATGTTTATTTTTCACTAATCGCGTTTTATTCGTAGAAGTGTTCCACTACAGCAGCCCCGCCTTAGAGGGTGTTTCACACTTTTGATACGTGAGGGCTTCGTGCGGGGGGAGAGGGGCTGGTAGGCCAACGTGTGATTGTAATGCGGAAGGGTTTACGAGCAGGAAGCGACCAATGAAGCTGGAGTTGCCACCGAAAGTCTTTCACGTTGAACTGTACCAGTAGTAACGTGCCAGTTGTATTGCTCGATGTCACACCCGCGTTGCTCGTATCCAGGGTTTGAAGATTGCTTTCGTTGGTGTTCGGACCAGAAAAAGCTGCAGACGTAGGACGAGACCAGATTGAGTGAGGGAGCCAGAAACGATCAGAAGGACCACGTTCGAAACCACACGTATGCCAGATGCATTCGGAATCAGAACAACGACTGAGTGCATTGACAAAAGAGTGGGTGATCAGGTCAGCTTTAGCCAAGATCGACTGAAGATGAGGGTGAAAACAGGGCGATGGTCGTAGACGTCGGTTCAGGATACGAAATGAAAGAAAAAGAGAAATGTGTAGCAAACATGTAGCATGAGGAAGACCTGCACTTCTGAGTCCAATATATAATTCTTATGGCTATTCACCATTTCGAAACGCTGTTGCTGGTGTAATATTTATCACAGGATATTCATAACACTGATGCAACAAAAAATTGGGATAGATGAATAATAAAGTCACTGTAATTAGCTTTCTTTGTGAAAAATAAACGTCAGCTCACCAACTGTAGTGGCGCTTTGAGTCAGGATCGACTATGTACATCACTATAAACCATTTACGCCCCCACCACTAATCGTTTCCTTGTCGTAAACCAAAAACAGAGAAGAAGATATTGTCCAGAATAGGGCGTATATTTGCCAGCGTATTTGTGGTACCCAAAGAATACTAAAATCCTGTCAAAGAAGATGGGCGAAGATATAGCAAGCAGTATAACCATCTTGACAACCAAACAAGCCGAAAGTGCGCGTAAAGAAGTGCGAAAAAACAAGAAGATCAGGAAAACAATCACTAGTACAATTGGTTATGAAAATGAATGTTCGGAATATGTCATGTTCAAAGAAGCCATTACCATGAAGAAGAGGTTCGCTCAGAATCAAGTCCACTAAAGAAATATTAATAAAAATTCTATTCCTAAGATCGTACTGGGTAAATAACAACTAGACACAGAGTTGTGCCTCGTGAGGCATTCTTCTAACTGGTTGAATGACCCGTCTTAAACGTAACAGGATAGATATAGTTAAAATGAGCCAAAATGTCTGCGAATATTAAGGGAAACTGTAAATAATGGATGAAAATTGCAGTCAGTCATTTGAAACTACTGAAGAAGTTAATAGACATAATGAAAATGATCATACCTCTAACTGATTACTTCAAAGCACTTACGAACAAAGGGTTATTATGAATAGAGGGAAATGGCAGCGAAAAATTCGAATACTAAAGCAAATAAGCAATGGAGAGAACTTACTTATTACAAAGGACATCACTGTCTGTACAAAGACTGAAAATTCTATGCAGAAAATAAATGCTTCATCAGTCTTGCTTTTCGGTGCAGTTAGCCCACAAGCAATCAAAACAAGAAATTGAGGCTAAAACAAGCATATTTCGCCAATATTTGTGACGCATCACCATAAAAAATGCTATTTTTCTCCAACAGCTCCATGGTTGTTCAGTTTCGACCTTACTAATTATATGAGGCAAGTTATGCAAAAATGGATTACATACTCATTAATATAGAGTGTGGGCTTGGTGTGCAGCCGTTATAACTTTTAATTTTACCCTATTGATTAGCAAATCCTTTTGGCAGAAGGAGACAGTTAACATTTTAGTAGCATTTGAATATGCAATAAAAATCTCAAGTGGTCAACTTTTAAACCATTTGAACAACCTATAAACAGTTGCTCCTCTGCATGTTTTTCTCAATTTTTCGGCCAATAAATACAACTTCCTGGCTTCCGCAGCGAAGTATAGATTTCAAAATGTCCACAACATTATCATATAAAAGTTAAAATAATCTTGAATGGAAACTCAGACATACTGGTTTTTGAAGGGTGCATACCATTGCATCGGTACTATATATCCCAATGTTTCAGCTGAAAAGATTATCTAAGAAGATATTCTAAAACATTTACTTTGAACAGTGAGTTGTATTATTCCGAAAGGACTTTTTTTCACTAGACTATTTTCAATCTCTTTATCCTAAACGATGGTGAAAATGTTTGTTAATGAGCTACAACGTTTGTGTAAGTCAAAAGTTTTTTGGGATATTATTCCTCTAATCATCATTTGTGTAACATTTATCCATTTTGGATTCTGTAATACAGCAGTTATTTTATCTACTGATGTCTTCTACCTAAAACATTGTTAATTGACAGACTCCAACTTCGTCCATTATGGCTTGAAACACTTGAAATTATATTACGAACGCTGGCTTCTTTTCGCTTATTTCATTCATAAAAATGCTTAGAATAAATGAACCCTGTGACAATTCACTCAGTCAGTCAGTTACAAATGAAGGTAGTTCTAACTGGTGTCATCTGTAAAGTTTGTGAAAAGTATTGGTCGAGAGAGACAGATATTTTTTACTAAAACTTGAATAATATCAACACATCTAATCATTACAACTAACATATTACATGTGTATTAACTTAGATCCTCCTGAGGCCTTCTAGGGTTACTGCTTATTCTGAACTCGGATAAATAAAGAGTTTCAGGTATAGAAGAGCCTTACAAATAAACAACAACGAGAAAAAACTTATTTCAACCATTTAAATTTTGCACTAAGAGTTAAAAGGTTGTTACGTAAAAGAGTCATAGAGACTCATGATGAAAGTCATAATTATTTGGAAATTACTCAGCAAATGACCCATCTGAAAGCCATAGCAAAATCAGCAAAGTTGCTTGGAATGTGCGCACGAGAATGTGGACAGAAAAAACTACTCCAAAAGCTGAAGAAATGAGAAAGTTCAGCCTGAAGATCCATGAAATAATTGAAATCAATCAGACGCACACCCGACGGGAAAGATTGACTTTAAGGGAGCTTTGAAAGTCGTCACGAAGAAATTACCTAAAACACGAGGCGTAAAAAGAGCCTATAAAATAAGAATCTTAGGACCATCTTGTCATCAAAGCTTCTTAAAAAAAGAAAGAAGAACGGAATAACAATGGATGTCATACAGAGTTACACACCGACCAACGATAGAGATGGGGACGTTTAGGACCACTTTTTTCAGATATTACAAGCGATCATAAAGAAATACTCAGGGAAAGACCTAACCATCTCTATCGGAAACCTATACACTTTGGCTGAAATAGAGAAAACCGAGTATGAAGATATCACGGAATGCTATGGACTGGGAAAAGGAACGCGTATGCTGAAAGACTTACGAAACCATATACTTTCAACAAAATAGTTATAAGTTGCTACCTTTTCACAATTAATACATACACCAGGAAGAGTTTCCAATAGCGTCTGTTAAACCTAGTGAAAGATTCTGTAGACGCCCAGATTCGGGACCGATAGGATGATTTTCGTCAGGATCGATTATTAATGAACAGTCAGTTACATAGAGCTCACCACTATACCTAAACTTGACTATGAGAAAGCATTTGATAGCGCTGATAGGATAGTCATATGAAATCTTCGGAAATCTGAAGTATCTAGGACGATTATCACTGCAACACGGAATTCTTATGACGGACTGCACCACAACGTTATTTAAGAAAGGCAGTTCACAAACTGATTTCAAGTGAATACCGGTGCCACACAAAGCTTCCTGATCTCACCGTTTATCCTTTATTCAGTGATGACAAGGTTTCGAAGACCTCTATATCCCAGGGAAATCAGGGGTAGGAGTAAAAAGAATGAATAGAACTTGACAACAGTTGTAAAGAACAGCTCAGTACAGGATGGGTTGAAGACTGCTTCACATGTAGTAACAGAGTAAGTCAGTAAGTAAGAGTAGACGATATTCGTAGGCTATCAGTATTCGGTCATAGGTGAATTCGAATCATTGCTCATATTTCCTGCGACAGTGAAGTAAGGAGTGCTGTTATTAGGAAACGAGCATTAGGTAAGGATGGCGAATCAACTGATGAAGTAGTGAATGTTCATCAGTTGAGGTGGTTGGGACATGTGTTACATATTCCTTTGACGAGCTGTTTTGAGGTTTAGAAGTAGTTTCAAAGAAAGCTAGGAGCGGTCAGACCAAAATATGGCGTAAATTCATGAAGTCACTGACAAGTGGACGGAGCCATGGTTGTAGGTGTAGACTATCTGGTTGGGGTTCGCGAGATGATAGTTACCGATTGTTAGAGACTTTGAATGAAATAGCCTAAAATCGGTTTTAATGGCGCACGTGCATCAATACTTTGTGTTCTCTCAAATCCTAATCCTCTGAAATCCCTATGGACTTTTTATGTTCAGATCTTTTTCACTTCTTTATATTGCTCGAATCATATCTTCTATCCTCGATATTTTCGATTACTGCTGATACTGCCACAAACTCTAATACTATGGAATTTGAACTGGCAATGCCATCTTACTTTGCTAATATGGCAACTTGAACTAATATACATACGCACGAAGTTCTACGTTGCAGCTGAATAGCTGATTGATATGACTGTAGCATGGCGATAAGCTGAAGACGGCCTTGACGGATTTTAGGAACTTGTTATACAGTCAGTATGCATACTCTGTATATAAATCGCTTCCGAGTGATAAAAAGTAATTCCACAAAAGATAAATAAATTCACGGGTTACTGTAGCTACTGAAATCTTCTAGATCATTTCGTATCTGCTTATCGAAAAAAACCATTGACATAAATTTATCAGTATTAACGTAAGTAATTATTTTTATATGTTTCTTAATTCTTACATTGATAAAAATAGATTTTAAAGAATCCCTATATTCTTTCTGTCTATGCTCAGGATTGTAACTTTAGGCTGAAGAAGAGCAGTTTAGTGTTTGGAAGAATTTGGTCATTTAAGTGTTTAACATTAGTTTTATTCGATGATATTAAAAAATAATTTTCTCTCACAACGTTTTGAACACTAATTAAAGGTATACTCAACTCTCGCTTTTAAAGAGTGTAGGAAGAAAGTTTCTGATTTTTCAATTCAGCGCAAAAGACAGGAATCGTTTCCTTAAATTTTCTTGGTTCATTTCTCTAATGTACACTTATCTGTTTAACTTAAACGAAGTTACATGAATACTGAGCCTATTCACTAAACCCTGTCTTTTTTAACAATAGACCTAAAAGGTTGTTTTACTTCGTATAAGTGTTTTTCAAAACAATATTTTAGTTGTTTAACTACATTGTTCTAAAAATAGTGAGTTGACTTATAAAAATGTCACTTAGAGATTGATTAGTTCAAATGCAAACTACTGCCTAAATCAAATCAATGCTCAAGGCGTACATCATGAGGTTTTCTGTTGTAACATCGTTCATCAAATTTTCAGTAGATATATAGATTCTCTGTAAACTTTCTGCCTTCCTATACCTATATTTGGTGTAAATCAATCCGCAAACATTGTTCATCATTAAAACTTGTCATTCGATCGAAAAAGCATGATTTTTATTTCAAATATTGCTGGATAGTGAACTAACTAATCATCAGCTGAAATGTGGTAAACACAAAAAAGAAAACAGAAAATAAAAAAAAATGCTTTTTACAAGTTAGTATTCAATTGAGAGGGTATTATTTTTTTATCATGAAAATGGAACATTAACCAATAATGAGTAGAGGCCAACAAAACAATAAAACGAACATCATGTGACACAAAATACTCCGATGTATTATTAGCAGCGAAAAAGAAACAAAAGTGCAATTCAATTAGCATTCCCATTTGTTTCTTATTTTACTTAGAGTACAAAATGTTTTTTTTTTCCGAATGACTTACATATAAATTATATTATACAAATAAATATTAGTAAATGAACGTCTCGAAAAGATAATAATTGTTTATCTTTATTCGTAAAAGACAAGTAGTATATTTACAGTGTAATGTATTGTGTAATGAAGAATTCAGAAATCAGTCACTCACATTCATTGAATTCTAAAGTATGGTAAATTAAATGTGTTGCATATTTGACCGGTATGAAAGGAGAAAAACAAAAACATTATTACGAAGTCAAACAATTTGTACCTCTGAATATGAATGAAAGTATGATGAACAAATATATCTTGATTAAATCAACATTTATTGTTTTGTTTTTTATACGTAATTATATTTACTCTCCCACACTCCGAAAATAAAACGCATGAATGATATCAAGAAGTGTATCAATAATTAAACATAAATAATTCAGAAAAAATCGAGAAAAAAAAACAACAACAAGAATCAAGCATAATTCAATGTTAACAAATTTAAAATTGTTGCTTATTGGAAATCTGTGAATGTATTCTACAAAGTTAATTTATTGTCATTACTGTCATTGATTTTTTTCTACTTATTCAAATGAAATCTTTGAGACCTTTTAACTAAATTAACTGAATTCACTAACTAACAGAATTTAATGTAGGAATAAACATTGTCGTTGTATTTGGCAGTAATCGAATACCCAGACCATTGGATGATTTACAATGATCAATTATTGATTCTTGAATTCCAGCTGAATGGTTCGATATATTTGACACTGGTAATTGTGTTGTCATAGTTGGTGTTTGTGATACAAATTTATCATTCATCATTGTATTATCTGGACTAGAATTGTGATATTGACTAATCGAATTATTGTTATTATTATTATTATTATTATTATTATTATTATTATTAATGGTAGTATTAGAAGCATTAATTGGTTGATGAAATAATTCAAAAGGATCTGCCATATACATTTTATTCAAATGTTCTTTAGGGCAAGTAAAATAATTGTTTGAATCAAACGTTCCCGGGCATGTTTGACGTATTGATAAATTGGATTTGGAAGTCTCTGAGAGACTTTCTGTTCCATTGAGACTACTTTTAGTAACATTATTTGATTGTTGAAAATCAACTTTGTTCTCTGTCAACTGAGAATAAGGGAATACTTGTTCACTAGAATATAATGATGATAAACCGGGTGCATCCGAGTACCAATTTTGTATTTGATTTAAACAGTCTTTAAATGTTGGACGTCTTTCAATCTCTTCATTCCAACAACTAGTAATAAACATATATATGTTAGTAGAACAATATTGTGGACATGATAATAATTGTCTAGAGCGTATTAAATCTAATACTTCCGGATCGGTAAATGCAGAATATGGTCTCATACCACCAGACCAAACTTCCCACATCAATACACCGAATGCCCAAATATCTGATTCAATAGTAAATTTACCATAGATAATTGAATCAAGTGGCATCCATCGGATTGGTAGCATAAGACTATGAGGATGTAAACGATAATAATCAGCTGCATAACAATCACGTGCTAGACCAAGATCAGTAATTTTACAAAATAGTTGTTCATTCAAAATGATAACGTTTCTTGCTGCTAAATCCCGATGAACGAAACGATGACTAGATAAATAATCCATTCCAGCGGCAACTTGAGATAATACTCTCCAAATTTCTGATTCACTAAGAGGGTTTGGCATATTCGATGTCATACCGTCAGGATAAGTGACATTTGTTAGATTTATCTGATTAATCATAGATCTTCTTGAAGACAGCAATTCACATAAATCAAGATATTGTCGAATTTCGAATATCATACACCATGGTGGGTGTTGTACACTGACTCCAAGAAGACTAAGGACATTTGGATGATCTAGTTCAGAAATTAAATTAGCTTCTTTACGAAAATTTGCTTGTAAACTGGCAGGTGAACCAGCTGATAAAGTTTTAACAATAACTGATACTGGATGACCATTTTCATAAGCACTATTCGGTAGTAGTTCAGCTTTGTAAACTGGTCCAAAAACTCCTTGTCCAAATTGTTTCCCAAACCTTGTTGTGCAAGAATTAATTTAAAAAGTAACATACACATAAATAGATATATTTATACATTAATATATTAGAAAAATTATTTTTCTTTCCGACACAACTGAGTGTTGGCGAATATTTAAGTAAGTGACTTGTTTCATTTCTCAAAAATTAAACGTCCAAACAAAAAACAGTTTGAATTCTACTCCATTTATTTCAATCTGGGTAGGCAGGCACTATACTACTATGATACCTCTACTATACCTCTACTACTAATAACAGTTATCGTCTACACAAAATAGTGCAACAGATGGTGTACATCTTTTGAGCCAGATTCTTTTACAGATTCAACATTTAGTGGCAATATGTCTCAATGTTAAGCTAGAAGTCATTATCATTGTAACCTAGAACAGTAATCAGTTGTATACACAATCAATAAAATATTTGGGTCTTTTGTATGTGTAACCGTTTCTCAACTCATAATAGAGACTTCCTATTTGGACCTTACAAATTTTTATTTAAATTCTGCTTTCACTAAACTTTATTCAAATCTTATGATAAATAATTTTATCTCTAGTTATTTGAGTTTAAAGTATTTACGAAACTCACCGCAGTTGAGAAATAGGGTATTCCATAGCCTTCATAGGTTGATCTTCTAAGTTAATTTTTGAAAACATTGTGGCATTTTGTGAGGTTCTAAATGAATTAATCGAAGGAGGGTCATTTGAGAGAAATTCATTAGGACTAGCATTTCTCAGTGTTGTATAAGCTGTTGGGCTTTCGGCTTCAGCATTCGTTTCATAATGCATTCTTGCCTCTGGAATTATCTCACTGTTTAATGGCATGTGGACAGACTGAGTAAATGAATGTAAATTATATGATGGGTCGGTCGGTGCGTTTGCTGTGATGCCGATTTGTGACTGTGTCGTCGGGCAATGTGGTCCTGGCGGTGGCGGTGCAGGGGCTCGAGGAGGAGGAAGTTGTGGAGTTAAAAAACTAGAAGCCTGATACTGGAAGTATGTTGCAGAACTATTATGTTTAGCAGATGCAACTGCGGACATTGATGTGTCATTATGTACTCCATTCGTGTTGTTTGGATTCGAAGAAATACTGTTATGCCCAACCGTAGCTGGTGCACTCATGGCATTCATATCACTTGTGCTAAAAATCGTATTACCTCCACAATATGTAGTTGTGTAAGCCTCCTGCATACCATTCAGAAAACCGTTTGTACCACCTAGTTTTATGCCAGCGCCCATTCCAGGAACCCTTCTTTGTTTGCTGGTATGGTTTGAGTCATTCGGAGCTCCAACTCCTTGTCCTCTCACGTGAAATCCATTCAGTCTTTCGGTCTCTGAATTATCACGACTGCCTCGACAGTTGGCGCGGATACGTGACCTTCCTAGGAAACTTGAACTATCTGTTGTAAAACGTGGTGAGTCGCCTGTACCATGCCGACAGAGGAAGCATACAGCAAGAAGAACAAGACCTAATAATGCTAATGCTCCGAATGACACAAAAATCGGCAACAGATCAGGACCAGTTGATAATGCAGAATTTAAGTCTTGACCAGATGACAATTCACCACTTTCCTTCTTTTCTATCAACTGACTAGGTGATGACGCGTCGGCACGATGTTCTTCCCAGAACTGTTTATCACTGTCTTGTCTGTATTCCGATACTATGTAATAAATTTAGAAAATTGTGTACATTATGTATAAAACCCTTACATATATTTAAGCTGAAGGTTCGGTCAAAAAGTATGTTAATTAGTGTAATAACAGCATTCTAATACATCTTGTGAAGATAAATAAGTTGTCAATAGTTCAGTTAGTTGCTATAAGCTTATCACAGCACAAGTTCCCTAGAAGTTTCAAATTAAGACTAAATAATCACTCGATATACTTTAGTCTTGAATAATTTCCCAGGGGATATCAGTTAGTGAAGAAAATTATTTGTGAATGGATAAGATTATATACTGAAGGAAGATATTTTTAAGATGTGACTAAACTAACGATTTCCATCAATAGGAATGAACTAATGTTTTTAAATTTCGATTTTGCAATACCTCTCCAAGTTTGTTATTCTTGGTTTGAAGAATTTTTTGATTAGTTGCAATAAGTAATCAGTGATCACAAGCGCAATACTGAGTTACTCATTAAATATCATTACTCTGCATGTGACTGGTTTCCACTTTGTATTATCAAATGCCATGGATTTCCGCTAATAAACTGATTTTCAGTTTCAGTACATACTGTATATCTATCTGATTCATTTTCAATTGATTACAAATGATTTTGTATCATTATTCTTTATAATTTAGAAATGTAATATTAAGGTTGAACAGTAGGCTCTTCAGCCCAGAAAGTAGTCTATTTTATTCTGAGCACCAGCTGTCGGTTTAAAATTGATGATAATTCTAATCAGTTGGTTAACGCTTCCAGGTGAAATCTTTATTACGGTTACTTTTTTTCAAATATTGACAATCATCATTAATAAATACAGGATTAGTTTGAAAGTAGCTTCTTGTGTTTACGTTACTAGTATAATATCTATGCAAGTTTAGTCGTCAGGTAAATACTTGCATCCATTATTTCCAGGAATATTTTTCGGTCTGTGAAGATTAATGAAGTTTGAAGATCCAACAGGTATGACAGTGAATTCTTAGTCAACGTCAGGGCACACACAGCTCAACAAATCTTGATTCTCAAAAAAAAAATTAATAGTAGTGTGAAATTCGATCTAGTTACAGTAATCAGAGTTTAATTAGGTGATTATGTTTAATCTCCTTGTCTGGAAGCTTTTTGGAAAATAAAACGGAACTAGTGGTCATTTGCGAGTGTAACTAATCAGATTTAGAAAAGTGTATGAACACATTAGTTTCCGGAATTGACCAAACATAATTAAAACATTTATCAACTTCACTGTCGTTTGCACCAAAAATTTTTAAAATTTCCTGAAAAATTCTCAGTTTGATACTCTAATTGAAAAAGTGTATTTCTCATCTCTATGTTTATATAAGCTGTATTACGTAAAAGTTGGAATTTCTTCAATTGAATTATTATCATTGAAAAAGCATGTTCAGACTAGTAACTAAATGTCAGATATATCTCGAAATATCAATAAATATATATAAATCTGAAATATGATGCAATTTCAAATAAACAAAACTGTATCAGATTTTACGTCATTCTATCATTAGAGTAAATTTATCTTCTGAGAAACTGATTATTTAATTACATAATCGAACTTTACTAGGATTTAAGATTAAATGGCAGTATCAAGGTAGTTTTATCAAGATGTGTTTATGGCGATAAAAGTTGATCCATTAAAATGCATAAAATAAAAGGAGAGGAGGTTTAAGTCCTGCGAATAATTTCCTACACGGTAAAAAAAAAACAGGTTACCGGCTATTTGAACTCAGAAGCTTGGTGGATTATGCGTTTATGCTTAGAGCCATAGATATTGGGTTAAAGTATCAACAATAGTGCCCAAGTAAATCAATCTGATGATCCTCAATAAGGATGAAACAAGTATCCGAGATTCTACTCTTAAACACTATCCAACAATAACTTCAATCATTAGAATCCCTAAATAACTCATCGTCCCTTAAGAAAATAGAATGTTAGCATGTTTTTAACAAAAATCAAAATATGAAGAAACTATAGATGGTAGATTCAACTTACTTTGTTCTGACACAATTAAAGGTTCACCTATACGACGACATGTTTGTGGATTGTCCGGCGAATAAATTGGTAGACGTGAACAATCCATAATCATTTCCGGTACTAAATTTTTAAAAAAAAATATTCAACAAAAACTTGTTAGGCTTTCTTTGAACACAAACATAAACTACACAGTAACGATGTGGAGATTTGAAAATATGCAATAAAAAGTATCAAACTAAATGATGAACCATAGAGGAAGTTTCAGAAATGACTTGTAGTTATTTGAGTTTATACCGAAATCAGTTGAAATGATTCGCTTTTCAAAAAAAGAAAACTAGTTTAATTTGAAAAATAAAATAACTATTAGTATGTTAGATCTATGTGAATTCACTTTATGCGGCTCACACAATCTAATATAACTGGGAAGTGCTAAATCAATTAAGCAAACATTAACCGACAGTAAAATTAGGACAAAGATTAGCTGATGATGATTGTAATCATGAACAGAATTTTCTGTGCTATCTAGTGGGTAATTTTTAAGAGGAAATTCACAAATGTTTAGAAATAAGGCATGACCTGTGATTTTAGTCGAAGCTAATTGAAGCGTAAACTTGAAAGCATAGATTGTCGGGTTACATCTGAGTGGTATAAGGATGCAATGGTCGTACCTTATGCAATATAGCCTGTAGCTAAAACACAACAGCCGTCCGATACGCTCTAATTTTCAGCGAGATAAAATGAGGTACATTACACTGTCTATGTCATTCAACGATAGTATAATAACTTGATTTCTTTAGCTGGGATGTTTTTGTTTTTCTCCATCAGATTGACAGTGAATTGCTTTGTTTACCAAAAGAACACATTCATGATATTATCTTTCTGAATTACGTATAAACTATTGGTTGAGATTTTCTAATTATTACACATACCACAACAAATCAGTGTGTATATCAAGTTATGTAAAAATCAGATTCACTCGTAAGATTTCAGTATGGTGACTCAAAAACACTATGTCCAACTGCAAGATATAAATGCTTTTAGTTTGATTTTATAATGAGTTGTAGATGAGTGCTTGTACTACTGAAGAAGTGTTTCAAGTTAAAGTAAAACAATTGTTAAATTCTTTTTGAATTGTAAAAAGTAACTTTAGACAATATTAGGAGAGTGTTATTTTATAACTTTTGTCTTGTTGCCAATGCTGATCTTGTGATCGATAAACTAAAAATTTACATTAAAGTAGTCTAAAAAACCTATTCATGTATATCTATCACTTACAATCATGCAAAATTTTCCTATCCAAATAATCATATGTTGGTCCACACTCGTTTTGCATTACATCTTCACATTCCTGTCTGCATAAATGACGTGTCTGATATACATAACGTATAGAATTTTCATTTAATGTTTGTGCTTCACTTTGAACCACATCATTTTCGAAAGAAACAGGTTTTGTTTCTAAACACACTGGAAAATTATAATAACAAATCGCTTCCATTAAACGTCTCAAACAGTCTTCACGTACACGATGCAGCGATTGAGTTGCAGTAAGCTTCAGGACTGGAAAAGATAAAAATAACAAATTACAAACAGTAATAATAACAATACAGTAGTTTATAAAACAAATAACGAATGACGTTATCATGAGCAACAAGGATTTTGGGATTCTTTTCGGTACATTCGGTAATCACCTTATTATCCAACTCACAGTGCTTTTTCAGCCCTTAAATACATTAGTGAATAAAAGGATGATTTTACTACGACACTTAATGAAATTATATTCGTTTACATAAGTAAGCGTCATGAAAATTAAATTTATCTCCACAATTTCATATCCCTATGATGAAAAAGCGGATGAGAAAAACTGAAAAAAAAACAGTAAAACTTGAAGAGCATTTAAACAGTTTTGTTGAGAATAATTAGGAAACAATAGTATGCAAAAATCTAGTTCACAATATTCTAATTCGCCATGAAAATTGATATTTTGATAGTTGTACACTGTTCCTATGAACTTAAATCCTAGTCAGAATGTTTTATCCTTTAGAATTCATGGGTTTAGATCAAGAGCATGGCAGCTGAATGACTAAGTTGATAAACGTCTTCATACATCCCTATCCAGTCGGCAGTGAACACTTCACCAAACACTGTTGGACTGCAACATTTTCCAACTAACTTCTTTTCCCATGGAGAATATTTTTGAGCGGGATTTTTACTACTGTGTACAATTTTAGTAGCTAAAATTTAAAATCACAATTTGTGGTTCAATTAAGTCATGAAAGAAAAAAATTAGAATTATTTTATAACTTCTTAAACATGTTTAGTCATTGGACAAATAGACGCTCTGAAAAAAAAAACATAAGGACTTCGTAACCAATTCTGCCTAGAGGTATGGACCTCTTTAGTAAGTAAGTAAAAAAATTCCTAATCGAAATTTAATTTTAAACCGAAACTATGCTCATTCGTTTTTATTTTACAATTGAGAACAATGACGTAAGCGTTTTGAAATATTTATTCAGATGTTGTTTTTACGTCTAATAAGGAGAAAATATGATATCTACATGAATTTCGGTAACAAGGACAAATTATCTTATCTTCAATCACTTATTACATACATTTCAGTGTAATCTCGATTTACATTTACAGAGTTTAGCATATACAAGAAATAGATATTAGTGGTGTGATGTATATGAAACACATTTATTCATGTGAACTAGACTAATGCATCATCGTTAAAAGTCTAATATCTACTAATCAATAACTGTATTGTTGAGAATTTTCCAAAAAAAATTTGAATAGAATGGAAACATTATCACGTTTTTATCATTGCCAAAAAATAATTCATTCAGTTGACTAGGCACTTGACTTACGTAATTCTCTTGTTACAGCTAGATAGATTTTTCCAAATGAATCTCAAACTTTAAGCAGTACTCATTCATAATTTAATGACTTTATATACATTCTAATTCAAATTGTATGTATTATTCCAATAGGAATGAATAATAATAATTAATTTATTTGAAGGAAATTTACAATTTATTTTAACAACCATCCACATATTCAGTAAAGTAATCTGAATTTTTAAATTTTGCAATAAATAAAATGTACATTGATAGATCAGAGAAAAAAGTCATATTCATTGCTAATCAACTTATTTACAGTCTGAAATTTTTGTCTTTTTTGATTAGCTAAACATTTGTGTATCATAGAGATTTTATTTCATTTTAGCGTAGCGGAATTGATTTATGTGCTTTTATACCATGATACTTTTTTTTCTGATAAGTAAACTAGCTAGAACATTATAATAAACGAATTAATTAGCTAAGAAATATACCCAAAACAAGTACATCATTATACAATTATAAGTAATCGTTGGTTGTATGAATAAACTTTTCCCTAACCATATTAGTTAATGTTATCTTGATGATTAAATCGTTTTATTCATACTCGATATGGACAGTTTATACATTGTACGATACACTTAAAGATGTTTCCATTGACAAAGAACTTAGTTGAATAACTTATTCGGTACAGATGTAAGTCTATTGAAAGATGGAAGAGATTGTGTCTTTGAGTGATCCAACATTTCAAATATCTAAAGGGAACCGACAATAATCTGACCTTCATATGATACTCCTCTCTCTTTTTTTTTCTAACTCCGGCATCATTACAGAATTTAAAATCTTGGATCAATTTATGATTCATCCTTTTCTATCTCTTTTTATGAACTTATATATATTTCTCAAGCAACTATGAATGCGAATGTAGTACGGATTCAGTAAATGGTTTCGTCGAAAATAAAACTGTCTTCACTGAATTTGCTTTATTTATGTTCAGTTGATTATTTTAATTGTAACTACTATTAGATTGGAAGAAAACAAGTAATTTATTATCATAATTAGTGACTGTAAAATAAACTATTAATTGAAGGAGTCTGTTTGTAAATTCAAATGAGTGAATGCGTTGCCTGTTCAAGTTAGTGGTTGTCAAAACAAGCAATGGATTTCAAAATATGTTGATGTTTAGAAACATGCATCTAGATATTTTCGTCTATAGTGATTCTTGAGCACGTGATGTAGACACTGTGAGAAGGTCAATCAACTTCAATTAACAACTTTGAGATAGCAAGGGATTTATAGTTAGGATTACCGTCAAATAATGAAATTTGTTTGTGCTTAGTATTATTACAACTATGTTCTCTTATTGCAGGTGTTTTGGAATGTCATGTCCAAGCGCTTTATTCGAAATAATGTGAATAAGGGTATCTGTTAAAACTTGATAAGTTGTTGTAAGAACTGGCATCATATTCATCTTTATGTGCATAAAGGTATTAACGACGCCCCATTCAGTATCCAACTCATTGCGTAAGTGCAAAGTTTATAGTTCTTGAGTTATTTGATACGAATTCACTACTACTGATAGCATCCTGAGGTTTTAGCAAAGCTAGTAGCAAGTATGCTATCGAAAACTCCGCCATTAGTAACCAAGGTCAAAAGTACGCTTTCATGTGTATTAACCTTCGCTGTAAGCTGAGTAGAATCGTTTTCAGTAAAATATTTTATCTAAAGTTACTTCAATAAATTGTCATGAAGCTTACAGATTTGCTTTAAAAATCCATATAACAAAAAAACAGGACGCTTTAACACTCTACTATTTACTATCAGAGGCATTGACTTATCTTGATCAGGTTACATTAATCTCTATTCCAGATTGTGATACACTGGTAGGTATTATTTAATGAATAAAACAGAATGTAAATCTATCTTTAAATACAATTATATATTTTTTTGCCTCAGCACTACGATGATTTTAAAAGGCACTAAGCAAAAATAATTTACATACCTCTAGATACAGTGATATATTTTTGATTAATAGGAAAGTTTAGGAAATAATTAGGTCAGACAGGTGCTTTATTATTTTTTCTTTCTTTTAGTTTAAAGTAAACACCATCTGTGATGTTGAATTACTATGCATGAATCTACTAATGTAACTCATTTTATACATTAAATTATAGAGCAAATTTCATTTTAGAATTGAAAGTATCCTATTTTTTGAGAATAGCCTACATCACTGACTGACTTAGTTAAATGACTTGGGCGCATAAAATTGATGATCATCAGGTTTTGCATTGACTATTCTTTCCTAAGACTACGTAATTGCTATTTATTGGTTCAGACTTCTAAAAGAAGTCAATTAACAGTGACTTATAATTGTCAATATATACCCACAGGCGATAAGGTCACTGAAATGCATGAATTTTCTAAGTTAGATCCGAAGAGTTTTCCGGAATGCCTATTACTAAGAGGTCGAGTACCAAGACAAACAGCTGTTAATAGGTTCTCTATTTTTGGTGGTTGTATAAATAAAACCAGTCAATGGTATTATCTCCAGTCAAAACAATCCACGAAAATGTGTCATCTTGATCATATTGAAAAAGTGAAAACAAACTGAAAATATGAGACATTGCTGTATTTATCAGAATTACTAGAAAAATATAATGGAACTGATATCGGTAGATATTAAAATGTGTAGATAAACACTAACTAAACAACTGAAACTCAACAAGACAGTTAGCTTCATTTCATTACAGTTCGTTTCTATTTCTTTCGAATTCACAATTTTGATTCTAATTAACTGATTTCAACTCATATTATTGTTTATTAGTCTGACCTTGGTTACTTCATCATAAAAACCATTTCAAGTGTGTTAACTCCTTGATTCCTAATCACTAGTTCAATATTCTGAAACTTTTACTCTCACCCTTTAGATATCCTTAATATGTTTTTCTAATGAACTTATTAACTTGATTGGAAACTTCCCAACGTCATGATACATTCAGCCAATCGCTTTCGCATTCATAAGTATGTCAATTTCCATGTTAATGTCGACTTAAAAATATTACCACTTTTAAGCAGCTGATGAGAACAAAACGAAATAAAATGAATCCATATTAGTCTGCACCAATTTCTGTGTTCTTGCTCTCTTCCAAATAACAACAGAAACTATGTGTATGTTTTCCGATTGCTTGAAATAAAACAGTAGTTTATCTAATTGATAAGATATAAGATTTAAACTAGATTTCATAAGATTTAACTTGAGAACAATCATTCTTGGTATTCAGTTTTCAGCTGTGCATTATTAATATGACTATTATTATTGTAATTAATTGCTTTGAAGTAGTTTTTTTACTGTCAAACGACGATCTACTTTATTAAGATGAAGATTTAAAATCCTCTTACATTTACTAATCATCGCGTAGGGTGAACTAGTCGTTTTAAGTTTCTACCATTTCAAAATATTCTTTAATTGTAAAGTGATACTCATAAATAAAACTGTTAACATTGAAACATTACTTTGAGTAGTTTGAGTTACAAAAATCATAATAATAATAATCTTACTGTTTTATTGATTTCCTCTGAAAACTAATATATATACATACATGTATATCAAATATTATAACTTACATTTAGATATTTGTGTTTCGATTAGAGCCTGTTGAAATTCTCTGGTCACATAGACACGATGACCCATAAGATATTTACCACAAACATTGCTATGAAATTCTTGACAGAAACCATCAGATTCAGCAGTTATTGAATTCATTCTGTATTTTGTAGAGAAAAATAATCTAATTAGTGTAAACATTTGTCAGTGATACTTTCAAATCATTGCAGACACAAAATAGAAAATCACATTATCTTAATTAATACTGTTAATTAAGTCAGAATTGATGTAGTTTTAAAACTAACGTTATCCATTGTAAAAAGGAATACACAGTTTGACTCGTAATTCTAAGTAAGTTATACCGAACACTAAACTCTCCTACGTCCAACGTCATGATGACAAGATTTTTAATATGTGGAATGACGACAGGCTTTAATAAAGATAATCAAGCAGAAAAAATAACACACGTAATCATGTAATGAAGAAGAAGAGTGCAATAATGAATAAGTGGTTTTAAATCATCAAATCAGTACGGATGTCTTCTGAATATCCGATGAAAAGCTATGCTTAGGAGATCATTGATGACAGTGAAGTTATTTTAACCATTTTATTGTTATTGTTTAATTACATTTTCTCTTTTCATCTCTAGCTTTGTTAGATTCTAAAAGTGACAGGTATGAAAATGAAAGTATTGAAGAAGAGGAACGTAAATAAAGGAGTGTAGATGTGTGCATGTGTGAGTGTGTGTGTGTGTGCAAAAGAAAATATACCTTCTTCACATTGTTCCATTCGTATTTTGTGTGCATTTGCATCGAGTATTGACAGAAAATGGAAACAAATGACAAAAAAAAGCTTTTAGTAATTTCATTTTCTTATGGGAGAGTGTCCATTTGTTGTATAACAACATTACGGAAAATAAACTGTGTTTTTCTGTCTGTCGAGTAATACTACCAAAATAATGATAATTTATTAGCTTTTTTTGAAGTGAGTAATGAGTCATCATGATGATATATATGTGAGAAACATTTAGAAAAGGATGTTAATGCTTATCTTTTTTGTGCATACAACCTTTTAGCAAGATTGTAATATTTTAGTGAAATGAAAATTAGAATTGGCCGCATGACATAAATTAAAGATGATTAGACTAAATAAACAAATAATTCAAATTTAAGAAAAAATATTATGGCTTTGCTAACAATTGGGCTTTACTGTTTTCAGAATAATCTACCAATAGTGAGAAAGCAATCTCATATCGAAGGTAAATTATTTCCCGTGATTCCGATAAATGAAGGTTTCATTTATCACGAAATATCGATTCGATGATAAATGGAAGACTTCCAAGATTTCAAAAAAATTGCACGATACTGGTTTAAGGTTGTTTTGTAGTAAATGGTCTCATCACTTTCAACGTTATATATATATCTTTTGACTAAATAAATAACTACACAAGCAGTTAATAATATAAACTTTGGGCGAATTTCCGTGAAAGAAACCGAAATCACAGAGAAATATTTGCGAAATACAGCTGGAATTTTCCTCAAGGTGGAATAAGAGACCATAAAATTTTATATGAGTATTTGAATTCCCTTAATTCTTGTTCTTTGGCCATACTACCTAAAGTTGAAAGTTTTATGAGCATATGCCTTGGTAATTCAAAAATAGCCTGATTACTATAGTACTAAATAAGAAAATTGACTTTGACATTGTTAGGGATGTGAATTGAGCCAGATTTTGAAAAGAATAGAATTCTCAATATTTCCTTTGTTTGTAATGTAGAACACTTGACCACTTAATGATCTTTTTCAATGTTTGATATTGATAAAATAAAGTGTGATTACTAAATCAATTTATTTATTACTTTAGAAACGTTTGATTTTAAAGATTTATTAACAGACTATTACGTATGGTAAAATAAAGGTCAAATGAATGCTATTAGATAAAGCTGAGATTAGATATTATGTTTATGTATTCAGTAATGCATACGGATATCTGCGATAAAATCTAAGTTGTTATTGACAAGTAGTTTCAATGATCTGACAAAGAACTTCCCTCCATTTCTATTTAGACCGCTTTATGACCTAAAATTATGTGAACACATAACACGAATAATGAAACATATTTATGGTATTGGCAATGTCATTTTAGTCTACATTTTATTATGTAGACAAAGAAGTATTTGAAGAGTTGTTTAAATGCTTAAATAAATAGTATGTTACCTTCTGAATTCCCCATAATCTCTATTTTCCTCCTTCTAAATTTATCTCACTGAATTATAACATATCTACGCTCCCTAAACTTCTCCATTGCTGCTAATAATTCTACTATCGCTACCACTCTTGGATTTGAACTGACAGTTGCGTCTCTGTGCTGATGTGGTATGGCAACCTGAACTGATGTACTTACGTACGAAGTTCTGCGTTGTATCTGTCTGTCTGTCTGGTAAGTATATATATCTGACAGTCTCTGAAGGCAACTCTTGTGCTGAAGATGTTTGAGAACCAGGGAGGGGGATAAATAGTTGTTCAGTTTCAGTATGGAAATTCTGATTATGGAGCACCAAAGACAGTACATAGTTTTAACTCATGGTCCTAAGGTTTCGTATCTAGCACAGTAAATTTCAACAGCCATATTGGAATCCACTAATCTAAATTTTAAATTCCAATTAATTTACGATAAAGAATAATCCTCACTCAACGTCCATATAGAGTTGCCATCGTATTGTCAGCTTGACTAGTCTCACAAACTTACAGCTTACCAGTAGAATTCAGAGTAATTAGTTTTGAAACTAATCGGTTGTTATTAAACGGTTTTCTACCGTGATAATGTGTAGAATTCTTCATAATTTGGAGTCGGCTTAATATACAAAAGGCTGTTATCAGAGGTCCAGTTTTGCATTTGATAAATCTTCCAATAAAGGATACTAAATACTTCGAATTATTGGTTACACTACTAATAGTAATTGGATAAACTGATTACTGTAACTAATGTATTTTCATTACATGTTTCAGACAAAAATCATACAAATGGTTGTGTGTCATTGAGGCAGTGACTGCAGTACATTTGTGTTCACCCAACATTTCTTCTAATCTCTTTGTTTTTGTAATACTGTATTCAGGTTTTTCAAAGAATTGACATAAATGTTGACATAAGTAGACACATAAGACATTAAAAAACATATGAGCATCTCTTATGTTTATACTCAAACTCTAATGTAAATGAGTTAAGCTGATAAAATGAAATCTCGGCTTGACTGGGTGTTAAGACCATGAAAACAGACAGTAAATATCTAGTAAGAGAAACAATCAGATGTACGTATAAGCGATAAAAAATGAAATACACAAGTATTTATGTGCTTAAATTAGATAAAAATAAACACTTAAATCTTCTGAAATCTCGAGATATCTACCCGTATATATATAGCAGAAATAGTAGTAGAATAATAGTAGCAGAAATAATTCCCAACGAACATAAATAAAAAGTAAAAATCTTCTATAACATATAAACTGAGTGAATTAGATTTTCTTGTAAGCTTTCAGCAAAAGAAACTATTAATCATGATTAGATCTTTAATTCCTCTTGTAATTATTTATTGGGAATTTCTGCGAAACGAAATTAAGTATGTTTGTCTGTTATGTTACCAAATCTATAGAGAATAAATAAAAATGTGCTTAGCAGCAAAATCTCCGATGTCCATTTCTCCTTACATAGGTTTCATCGGCCGGTTACATCATCATCCCGGAGTTGATGTTTACTCGGGCATTCGGATCCATCAAATATGAACACGTTATCCACCTAACTACTAAGTCCAGATGGAAACTCACTTGCGCAAAGGAAATTAATTTTAATTTAGTTTACGATTGCTTGGATCATGCAGGCGCATTCAGCTGATGGGTTTCAAGTAGGACGAAACAGGCATCTTGGATGATATAGTTATAAACCTTATCCTACTGAAGGGATTAATTAACAAGATATAAAATTAAATCTAAAGAAATTAGTGATATCTATTGTACAAAAGGTCTAAATAACACTGTGGTACGACATTCGATGAAATTATCAGTGAGATTTTTAAGAATTAATTTCCAGTTTATACGACTGAATTAGGCTACAAGTCATCAAAATATCTCACAAGTTTTTCATTGTCAATTATTATTGATAGATTCGTTTTTACACAGTCTGTCATAGTACTTTTGAGCTAGAGTTAATGGAATGAAATGTCTGATTGTTTGTTCCACAAACCACCACACTTTCCAAAAGTCCCACATTTTTATTCCCTAGGAATGTTTATTTCGATGCTGTATATTATGAAGATATATTCCAACAAAACAGTATGAGTTTTCTCATTAAGCATAATACTATGTTTACTACGCAGAAAAATCTTTTGATCAGTATGTTTATCAAAGAATAAATGTAAAATCGTTTTGGAAGTTAGGCAAAACGAAGTGAATACTCATAATTCCTATTGTTTTTTGTTGCATAATTTTCTGTGATAAATATCAAGATAACTGTATGTAACTTACAAATTTGTAACTTGAATTTCATGAACATCTTAAAATAACCTACCAGTCTATCTCCTTGTACTGAAGTGATAAACTCATTATTCATTTCCATTAGATGTGGTTGGTATATTATTTATGCTTGAGTGAAATATACTGTTGAAATGTAAACTGGGTGGTTTTGAAGGTTTTACGAAGAATAATTATTATGTGCTCACTAGTGACTAGCTCCGTGAGAAAATCCTCGGAGTTCTAGTGAGAAGACGTGACAAATGGAGCCAAACCTTGTCGGGTGTAGGCAGTAACTACCAAAGACAAATGGGTGAGGTCGAGCAAAATCCCTAGATCAATCAAAGTTAGACATTAACACCTGTGGTCCGATGGTTAGGCGTTCGCGCACAATACCGAAGGTCCCGGTTTCGAATCCTGCGAGGTTCAGGAGTCGTGGATGCTAACTGCTAATGAGTCCCATACCAGGACGAAACGGCCGTCCAGTGCTTCCAGGTTTCTAATGGTGGTCTAACAATGATTGATTGATGATTTCAAATGTGTAATAATTATTAAAGTTTGAATTTTTTTGTAGTTGGGAAACATCAATTCTCTTAATCTTATCCAAAATAGGGTCGTTTAAAATGGCACGAAGGACTATAAACTAGAAAAAAAAAATAATTGTCTACAACTATGTGATTTCTCCAGAAAACATAATACAAAGTCTATAGAAATCAGCCTAACCTATTAGTCATGCTTCATTTCTGTTACAACCGACCCAACCTGTTGTAGACTCCATAATGGCTTTTCATATTTTATGATCTTCGCACCTCCCTACCAGTATGTTAAATTTACCACAATCATTTTTGTAAGTATCATTTGGACTTATTTCGAAACTAGGCTGGATAGGAAGCAGTCAGTTAATAAGCCCAGTCATTCCGAAATAGATTATTATTATTCTTCTGGTTATTGAATAGTTATTATTAATATCATTATTATTAGTTCCAAGTTTGTTTTTAAAGTAAAAAATAATAGTCAATGAATGAAAAGGTCAATAGCCTATGAAAGTAATATGAAGATCATTCACATGACAGTACTAAATATGTAAGTAATACTGACATTATTCTAGAAATGATATAATCCACGTGTTAACATTGTCTAGCAATTATCACTCAATAACACAGAGATATTATTGCAGATGTTATTCAAAACTATGACATCAAAATAATCCCAGTCTAGTTCATTACGTCACAGAACAAATATTTCAGTAAAAAAAACGAAACGCATCCCCCAAAATGATTTCATTTTTACAAAAATCTATAATCTTATTGATTTCACTTATTCATAAAGGTTTGGATTCTATTTAAACAAATGAAAATTATTTTGAATAAGTGTATCCTCTTAAACTCCTTATACTTGTTCATTCATTACTCGGATTAATTTTTGTGTACACTTTGAAATTTAGTAGTTCATTTTGTGCTTAAGATTTTGGACAAATTATCTGTTTATTTGGCGGATCAAAGCTGCATAAAAGACTAAAATTGTTTACTGAGGATTTCATTTCAAGCTTTTAATTTGATTTTATTCACTTTTTTCATTTGGCAAGTTATAATGAAGTATAGGGTAGTGTTCATAGAAGGAAGACATAAACGGATAACTGAAAACGATTGAAAAGAAATCCTTAATGAGAACTAAGTCTTTTCATACAATAATCACCTTTCCAGAAGCTGCAACTTCACTGAACTTCATTAAAAAATGAATGGTAAGCCCTCTACACATGATGACACTTTTTCTTAACTCAACCAACTAAATATTATTTGTTTTACTAGAATTTCCTTTTAATTGGAAAATATTATTTTTAACGACTAACTTACAGATATTGATTTTCATGTTGTAGAATTGGCTTCGCAAATACACTCGATTTAGAAGCTATGCGATAAAATAAAAAGAGAGAAATGAACACTAAAAGTTCATGATTAAAAATATTGTTTTATCTTTAATTTTTATGACCATATTATATTCAAAATATAATTCAGATTATTTATCAACATTCTGACAAAGTCAGTATTCGCCACTCTTTCGAAAGTGGTGGTCTAACATTGATCGATTCATGGTTTCAAAAATGTGTAACTCTTTCGAAAGTATTATAACATATTGTACATTGAGGTACAAATAGTAGATAGATTGTGTGTTTTCAGGATACTGTATGCCAACTTTGTCATAGACTATGCATTGGTCATTATAGCCATAGCAAAAGAGAAAGAAGTCTGAAATAGTGCAGATGAAAATTTTCTCTAAATTATCTGGTATAATTTCAATGAGATGCTGATTCGTTGAATTGTTGCTTACAAATTATCTCAGGTTTTCTTTTATTCAAGTCATTCAGTGAAGATTCGTTAATAAACAACGTCCCCTATACTGAAAGCTATTTCCTACCGGCGCATATCACTATTTAGAAAAATTTCTTGAATGTTATACACAAAAATAATAATAATAATAATATATGCACTCACATTAGAATAAAATGGAACTAGTTGTTTGTATGTGGAGAATAATTAAAATTCGAGTTAAAAATGAGTATATTTTTGAGGAGAATGACTCATTTCATCAAGAATATACATATAACTGTATATAGAATTATTAATTTCATCCTGATAATGTTATGTGCCTTTTTTACTTACCGAACAATAAGTAGTCACAAAGATAAAATAATCCGGAAAGTGTAACACACACACACACAATGAACCTTTTTTAGGATGATTGCATGACACTACTCACTGACTACTAGTGAATGAATAAATAATTCGGTATTTGTTTAGTAAAGAAACTACTGATTACATGAACTGCTTTGTCAATTTTCTAGTTTATCATAAAAAGAATTCTCTCTTTTATTTTTTGTGTCTCAATCATTTCATATTCATAGTTTTCGTCAATAAAAAAAAGAAAATTCTAACATAAAATAGAGAGTATAAAAAAAAGGCTGTAATGATTAATCAGAAATTTACTTTATAAAATAAATTGTCATTGTTATCGTGATTATTTTTTGAAAGACGGAAAACGATGAGATATAGTCATAAAAGTCATAAAGGATTTGGTAAATGTGTAAAATTCATCAGTTAACTAAATCACACAGTAAAATGATGAACAGAATACAGTTGTAAAAGATTTGAATATTAACGATATATGATTTATAAGGTTGGATTTTCGTAATATGTTGTTTTTCATAAATGCACGTAAAGTGTTTCACGTCGTGAGCTTTGCTGTAACCCTTGTGATTCGGAATCCAATGGCTTCTGGCTTCGATCGGTCCTAATCATTGTACAATCAGGACAAAAGAGCTGTCCAGTGAACCACGGTTTTTTAATTTCAGCCATGAAAATAACTGATCTCATTAAACATCCTACTCTAAAAGCCATAGTTTGTTTTGACTGTCATTCCAACATAAAGACGTTTGCACGATCCCGCACAGCGAATATATTTATTTTACTTCAATATTTGCCCTATATGATTTTAACCACATAGTTTTTTCGCCAGCTTGTTAAACCCAGTTATGAAGGGGTATACGTGGACATTACCATTATGTGAAACATTCGATTTGACATCAAAAACATATAGCTAAAAATACTGATATCAGTAGACTAGTTTATATAAACATTAGTTAAGAAAATTAACAATCTGTTTATCAGCTGAATTTAGGTATCATGCTGACTGACACTCGTCAGTAAGGCGTATCTATACACATAAAAGAAACAGTAGAAGGTCAAATCACCTATATCATTGGTAACAGTGTGACTATATCTATAATTTTCGATTGATCGAAAAAAAGCCTAGCTCAACGTACAATCGCTTAAAATTCATTGATCAGTCGATTAAACAATATTTTCATTCTGTGCTTTTTAGACCTAGAACAAAGGACTGATCAAATCATATTGTAAGTCAATTTCACACAGAATTATACTTTTATCATAAACTAATACATGTGTCAAACTGCATTCCTTAATTTAAATTTTTTGGTGTTTTGGACTTCATAGTCTTATCAGTATTATAAAATCTAACCTTGTTTTACATTATATATATATATATATATATATATATATATATATTTATATATATGCTGATTGCTGAGACTATATAATATAAGTCAGCACTAACGTTTGTTCTTATACACTTATTCTAAAAGCATTATACATTTCAGCGATACATCAGATTCCACAATTCAAAAATAAACATAATCAGTAATGAAAGTATGGTTGCTGTTTATCAGTACAAAGTACCCTGTTTTTTTTCAATGCCTATCACACTCTCATTGTCAGCAGAAATATCAATTAGTTTTGTTCATAGCTAATACATTGCTGTCAAGATACTTTCTTCCTCTTTGTGAAAAAAATAACCATCTCTATTTTGGAAGTAATGATACCTTTGCCTTAAATAACAGACTAGCAAATCTTCATCATCAATGTAACAATTCAAAATTGTTTGAGATAATTTATCAACAATCGGTGAAATCATATCGGTAACACAATATGAATAGTTTGCATCACACTTTTCTTTCATTGAATTCATTTTATCCCAATTTGTTCACATTAAAAACTTCACATCAAAACTATTTAGCAAATCAAATCTTTGAATGTTTATTTTTAAATCGAAATTCTATATCACATTGACATTACAGATTTTCATAGAACTGAAATTAATTATCTTTACATTAAATTGACTCTGTGTTTTTTTTAAAAAATTTTTTTTTTATTTCTCAGTAATAATTAGTTAAATTACAACTAACTAACTAACTAACTAATCATTTTGGCATGGAATTAGGAGGCATATTGGCTAACATAGGATTCGATGTGTAGACCAAAAAAAAAAAATTTTGCTTACTTTACATTAAATAAGAGAGAAAAAAGAATGTAAATTTAGTATGGAAAAATAAATTTTTTTCACAAATTATCGAAATGCATAAATTTGATTTTTATTATTTTATTTTTTTCTGGATAGAAATAAATCACAAAAAAAATGCTTCGTTTGACTTTAATTAATGGAGCTAATAAACTGGGTTGTTTTTTCGTTCTCGCACTGTACATTGATAGGAAAGCAAGAGAGAGAGAGAGAGAGTTTAGTTCATTCTGTGTTACAGTGTAAGTCTATGTGTGTTTGATTTCAGGCATAGAGCGAGGTGAAGAACTAAAAATCTTAGTGTTGTTTTTTATTATATTTGAAAATCTACAATTATTTATAGCTGGTTGTTGTCAATAGGTAATTGGAAGAAAATATTTTTATTTTTACAAGGGTAGTCTATGCGAATTTTTTTTTTTCAGTTGATTTATAAATCAAATTCTATTTATCTGTAAATTTATTTCTAAGCATGGAATAAAATGCTCAGTTTTTCTAACTTTGCTTATTCTGTTCACTGTACACACCATATGATTTACTTTCTAACTATATGGGAAGAACTAATAGCAAGAGTGTAATATATTACAGTAATAATATCATTACAATATTATTATTATTATTATTATTTTTATATGACAATAATGAATGCAATTTTTGAACGACTTACACACTACTGGTACAATGATCAACAGATCTTTAGTTGATAAGCGATAAGAATCATAAATTACTTATGATAAAATAAATCTTCATAAGCTACTCCATAAAACAGATTATTGGACGGTTAATATATTATCTAGTTTTCGAATGCTTCGAGTGGAGTTATGTCTATGAAACCATCGAGGCAAGGAGTATGAAACAAGCTTGTTGATTTTATTGTATCAAGATGTAAGATGTTCGAAGTAATGACTGTCGACTAGTCATAGATAGTTTTACATCATACTATGAAAGTGAGCATAATTTGAGTTAAATATAAAATCTGTCAACTGTACAAAAAATCTGTATGTTATAGGTCGAATAAAAGTATATTTACTAATGATTAGAGCGTTTTTTTTTAGCTATTTAGTGAACTTCTAATCATTTGTATCGAAAGAAATTTACAGATTTAAACGATTATCGAGGTTATGAGAAAAATCGGGGTTCATGAAGATAGATTTACCTACTTTGTTCAGGATAAATTTATATATCGTTGTGTCATATTTTCAGGAAGAATAACATTTTGAGCACTTTAATACATTAAGTCAATATGTAAAATTTGTTTACACTTTGTAATATGAACTGTATTTTTCAAAAAGCCATCCCGTCAAAAGAGATGTTTTCTGACTGACCGAAGTTACCTTAGGACCACTTTTGTAATATACTGCATCCGAAGTATTTCATACTATCGGTAAATAAGTACTAGAAAACATAATCGATAGTTTCCCCGCATTGATTTTCATGTATATTTCTAATTAAAACAATACTTCTAACAAAGTGATGTTTTCAATAATCAACTCTTTATGTTTTAATGAGCTGTTGAGTAAAAAAAACTAAAAATGAATAAATATATTTTAAAAATTACTAAAACATTAACCTTCATGCTTACTTTTACTTGTTAATTGTAGATGAGCTGTGGCATTCAATGTTCCAGATGGATTAGTAGCAACACATAAATACTGTCCAGTGTCAGAGTTTTGTAATTTTTCCACACGTAAACTAGAAATTTATTGAGGAAAAACTGCAACTGAGCATTGAAATGGCTTCATGAATAAAATATAAAATATACGTGAAATAAGCTAATGCTTTTTATGTTTTGCTGATTTAATTTTAATCAAAAATGATTTAAACTGGGTTCTAATGTAAGAAGTCAGAGGTCATTGAACATTAGATGCAATTTTGTCACGATAACCTATGCAATATAATAAAACCCCTTTTTATTGACCAGTAGCGAATATTTTCCATCACGTCATATAATAGGCAAACAATATTACTGTTACATTGTTCATTCAGTAAAAATGTAGGTAGGAGTACGATTGGCTTTTGGTTTGCCGGACTTTGTTTCGCAGATGGTCTGGTTGGCTGGTTAAAGACCCAAAAAAATGGTTTGATAACCAGTACGGAAATGTATGAGACACAAAATAAAAAAGATGAAATCCCCACCTTTAACTATTTAGCGATAAATCACAAGAAAGTTAATGATTGTTCAGTTCATCTTTGCCTCTGCTAAACCGAGTAATTTTTCCTATTTGGGCCTTTTCAAGAAAGATAATAAGATGTTAAATCATTGTTGTTAAATTGTTAGTGATAATGAACGTTTATTTTCAGGTAGAGCTTTGGAGAATTGTGTCTTTACACATTTGAAATCATCAATCAATCATTGTTAGACCACCATTAGAAACCTGGAAGCACTGGACGGCCGTTTCGTTCTGGTATGGGACTCATCAGCAGTAAGCATCCACGACTCCTGAACCTCGCAGGATTCGAACCTGGGACTTTCGGTATTGTGCGCGAGCGCCTAACCATCGGACCACTGGGCCGGCATCCAACGATGTTAATGTCTAACTTTGATTGATCTAGGGATTTCGCTCGACCTCACCCATTTGTGTTTGGTAGTTACTGCCTACACCCGACAGGGTTTGACTCCATTTGTCACGTCTTCTCACTAGAACTCCGAGACTTTCCTCACGAAGCTAGTCACTAGTGAGCAATGTTACGATATTTTCAGTTAGAGCATTGGAGATTCGTGTTTTTACACATTTGAAATCATCATTCAATGAATATTTAGGAAAAATATGTCACTCAACCCTTATTCCGTATGATTATTTTAAATAAACCAAGTTACAATTTTAACAAATATGTCGAAATTATAAACAAGTCCTGTTTAAATCAACGTCTTTTTCAGGTAGTTTTTTTTGAATGAGGTTCAAGTTGTAACAAGTTTTTCTTTATCAGGGTATTTGATTGGTGTTTGATTACTTACCATAAAAGACTACTTCGGACAGGATTAATTATGTCGGTCATATTGCGAATGTGTTTGTAACCTGTTTACGGTGTGACTACAAGTCCTAAAACTTGTTGGTGTTTTTATTCATGTCAAAAGTTTACTAATGTGTCAACATCTTTCTAGTGGAATTAATTAATTTTTTTATCTGGAATAAACACTGATTGAATAAATTCGTATACTTACGAGCTTCCCCATAGAGCAGTAGTTATTTTAATTTTATTCATTTTTTCTACCAACTTTTCACCATTTTTATACCATTGAAATTGAGGTATCGGTTCACCAAGTATATCACAATAAAATGTTACTTTCGCTCCGACTGAACGAGTTAGATTACTCATTGGCTGACTTAATCGAATATAGGCTGTTTAGAAGAAAAATATTTTTCTTTTTAAAACTGCTCATCAAGTAAACAATGAGAAAAAAAACAAATTTTTCTAAAATAAAATTTCACAGTTGAATTTAATTGAAACTTTTTAAATTGGAAACTATCAATTGCTTTTTTGATTGATAGTGCACAAAGAAAAGAAATGATTTGATTGAATCATTTTTAATTTAAGAAAAATTTTTTCTCTTCATTTTCATTAAATCAAAGACCGTTTATGTTTATGCATAGAACTAAATTAAGATGCAACAATCGAAACTGTTGACAATAGAAATTAAAAACACTGATTGATCTTCTGAAATTTATTGGTAACTTCTGAATCGACAATGAATAATTAGGTATAAATATGAAGAAACATAAAATATTTTGGATTTTTACACTGAATACATTTATATGGGAAGATTTCATAGGAAACAAAATAGTTGTTTGTTGTTGTTCTGTTTGCCTTTGATATTTTTTTATAAAAACCGTATGCAAACATACACTTTGCTGTAAAATGAATTTTCTCAAGTTTCCGTAAAAAATGGTAACATGTGAAGTCAGTTATAGTAAAACGAATCTCAATGATAAGATTAAAACCAACAGTGTACTAAGATGTCTTATCTTATTATTCTTAATCAATGGGTCAACTCTATGTTGATGACTTTTAAGTTTTTATACTATAATTGAATTGATCGGTAAAAGCGATTTTTCTACCACAATAATACTTGTAAATAGTTCATAATTTTTATCTTTTATATCGTTCAGTGTTGAATGCTTGACATGATTCGTATAAACTTTCTTTTGATAATCCCATGTATTCATCATTCACCGTAATTTTTTTTTATAAACATTTGTAAGTTCACTGATTCTGTCTACAGTAAGCATAAATAGTTATTTGTCATTTTAAAATAAACTATATTCTTAGACATTTATCGACATACTTCACTTATCAGTTAAATATCTTCATTGTCATTTTTGTTTACCAAGGATGATTTTTTGTTGTCTTCCAACTGTTACTGCCAAAAATATGGGGAGAGTATATTTACCAACAAATATTTGTTTCAAAAAATATCACTTACTACTTCTTCAACTATCATTATTGATGTGAATAAAAGAAGGTTAGCTAACTTAATAACTTGAGGAATGAAGCTACAGTTATCCGGAATGAAACTGCATTGTGAAAAGCTTAATATCATTGTTTGTTTTGCAATGTTCACTGCACTAACAATTCTTAAATTTCCAAATAACCGGAGAAGAAAAGTCAATGCAATGTGTGATCACATTCATCTGGAATAATGTTAGTTTTAAACAAGTAAGCCGTGTACTTTGTCATCAGTATCAAATTAAGAATTATTCAAAAATAATTGAACTCGAGTTGTTATCGAACTTTTTTTAGTCTCATATTTTGAAGGTCACTTCCTGAAATGATTTCAAACAATGGAAAATAACAGATACGATGACGAATTTCTCTCTGTGGTTAGACAACTGTTGATCAATTAAACACACTATTATGTTGAGGAAAATATTTGCTTGCACAAATTAAAACTGTAAACAAAAATTATTTAATGTTATAATATACCGGAAAGCGTGGAGACCTGGGCGCGTGACCGCAGAGTCCAAGGGACAACTGCTTGAGGTCGGTCACGCACGGCCTTTTTATGAAAGGTTTTTTGAGTATTAGCTCCGCTCTTGAAATCCCTTAGTGGACACCCTTACCACCGGAGACGGAAATCCGTGAGGTAGGTTGAGGTGTGACATTTTAAGGATCGACCTTTTCTAACCACTTCCTTTCTTGTGAGAAGGCAGCATCGCTGCAGATGCTGGTTGTCCGAGGGGAACACCTGACTGCTGTCACACCCCTCTACAGCCAGCAGTATGACTTCGGATTCGTCAACACCTCTACCTTTGTCTTTCTAAACTTATCTTACTGAATCATACTTCTTGAATAATATATTGGAACCTTAATCCTCTCTGTTATGAGTAGTACTCCTATTATCTCTAACACTATGGGTTGGGTGCATTTATTCTTTGTGTTCTCTCAAATCCTAATCTTCTGGATTCTTCAACACCTCTAGTTTTGACTTTCTAAACTTTTCTCACTGAATCATATTTCTTGAATATCTTCTAATCCTAACCTCTCCGATTGCTTCTAATACCTTTACTACCTCTACTGCTATTGGATTCGAACTGACAATTGCGTCTCTGTGCTAATGTGGTATGGAAACCTGAACTGATGTACTTACATACAAAGTTCTACGTTGCATCTGACTGACTGACCGGTAAACTATACTAATATTGTTGGAGAATTCTTCATTGTTAAATATATGCTAGATAGTTTAAGTAAAGCAACATTTACTGTGACATGTGATCTGTAAATATGTTTGCCTTGGATGAGAAATGTTCTAAATTCCTCTAGCCACATAAATTTATGCCTACTCACTATAGACACATCTATTATTTATGTGAAGATCAAACGTTTGTCTAGATCTCTTTGAAATCCAAACTTGTCCAATCACATTCCATGTACAAGGAATAAATTTCGTTGAAATAATCAGTCGATCATTTTTAAAAAAAAATCCCTAAAACTAGTCCACATATGATAAGTACTTTAACTCAGTTTTCCCACATCAATAGCACTCATTCTCTATCCTATCTGGAAAAATGCACTTTTTACACAACATGGTAGATTTTTTGCTGACTAAAATTTGAACAGATTCGTGGTAGTGTTAATAAAACATTCAATTAGCCATTTCGTTGTATTCTGTTTATTTCTGTTATTGATATTACATTGAAAATATTGAACCAACCGTAGAAGAATATCGATCAAGCTAACATAGTTTATACTATGAAGAAATATTTAAACAGAATGGAATGAATTATATTTGTAATTCACTAACTAAAGGCAGAGCGAAAAAAAAAGAATTAGTTGTTTTACGATTATGAACTGTGGCAGTTCACAGACTATTTCAAGCACACTTGTTACTGTGACTACATATAACAGAAAAATCACAATGTAAAGACATCATCTACTAATTAACCATCAGTAATTGAAAAAGCACATCATTTAGACTACTTTATCCATAGATTTGCATTATTTTCGTAAATGACAAAAATTTATACTTTTGGCAAAAAAGATATCAACACATCATCAGATATTGGTATATGCAGCATCAATAACATGTTCTATATTCTAACAGGAAACAAAGCAAATGTAGTCTGTATAAATGCATACAATTATTGTGAATATTAGAAAATGAAACGATCAGTATGAATAAATATCCATTGATAAAAATCACTCATTGGCCACTGAGTGCTTGCAGAGTTTACAAAACATTTTATCCATCGACTCACTATGTGCTAAACTATTATTCTATTTTGGACAGATACTACTAATATCATCATTATTTCGATCTTGTACTGAGGCTGTCGAAAATAAAGTTCACTGGTTGACGTTGTCAGTTATACAGTGTTTTGTATTTAAACTAATCCTATATGTTTAACATCTTTGGCTTTTTTTTCCCATTTTTATAGACTGGTAACAATCTGAAGCGTATGAAGCGTACCAGACATAGCATATCTTTGTTTCTACAGATAAATACTTGTATCAGTAATCAGTCTAAAATATTTGCCAAGATTAATATTATCGACAAATGTGATTCTTCATCAGGATATATATCAAAACAAAAGGATTCACTTTACATCTGAAGAAAATAAGACGATAATATGTTACATAAAATACAAACAATTATTCCTGCTTACTTTTACGTTCTCCTCCAAGTTTATCTTGATAATGGACACTAAAAATTAAAAATTAAAAATAAGAACAAGGTTAACTAAAAGAAAACAAGAACTTCTGTAGGACTCAATAAACATTCATAGCGATCAGTTTATTTTCACGGAGATAGTTTCGTAATAGCGATTTAACACTGTTGAATGACGTATATATATCAATGGTAAAGACAAATTACAAGGTCCATTATGTGTTATTAAGGGTTTTTAACAAGAGAATAAACATTTTGGCAGACTTTGTCGAACATTTTGGAATAATTAAACATATTCTTCTTATTTGGGCTTATTAAAGAAATGTTATCTGATGGTTTATGTTGGAAAGGCGAGTGAAGTCGTTGAATTGGCTGCATAGTTTTTCTCAAGAAACATTTATGACAGAAATATTATATCATGCATTTATACAGACCAATAGAAATTTTCTACACTTAAGAAGTAATATGATTTAAGTTGGAATTATGCTGTCGCTTAACTAATGCTTGGTAATAAAGTTCGCTTTTCCTGCACAGGATCATTTAGTTTCATTATTTTAGACAGAAATCTTTATAATTATGTCTTCAGAGCATAAAAAATTTATCAGTACATATTATTTGTCTAAAAAATCCAGCGTTAGAAACCTGGAAGCACTGGATAGCCGTTTCGTCTTGGTACGGGACTCATCAGCATTGCGCATCCACGATTCCTGCACTGCTGATGATTCCCATATCAGGACGAAACGGCCGTCCAGTGCTTCCAGGTTTCTAATGGTGATCTAACAATGATTGATTGATGATTTAAAATGTGTAAAAACACAAAACTTCCAAAACTCTGCCCGAAAATAAAAAATCCAGATGAGATAATGAGTGAAGTAAATGAAAACTGAAAAAGTGAGAGTATTATAATTTGTAAGTTGATTATGACCATGTGAACCCAGCATATACACTAAGAGCATGTTTAAATTCTAACAACTCGACTAGTTTCAGTTTTTAGTAGATTTTTTTTCTGCATAGAACGAATTAACTGAGCTCTGTCAACTAACACACATAAGAATTAGTAGTCATATTTGTTTGATTAAATTTTTATCAAAGTTAATGTCAGAAAAAATAAATAGAATGCAAAAAAAATTGATCTTTTAGTGCCAGTTACATGATAAATATTGCATTCCATTGAAACCTAACAAAGATATGTAAACCTTTTAAATCGAATATTTAAACTATAGTTAACACATATATCATGTATAATTGTCGATTGATATCATTGTATTCTGTTACTGTAACAAAGGGTATAATATTATCTATAATCTGTTAAAGCATAAGCATAAGCAATAAGTTTCTAAATGATATGATTGATGAATATCGTTTGGGGACATTTTCTAAATACATATTTATACATTTAATGTTTGCTTTTGTTTTATGGCACTTGAAGATAATCGTTTTTGCATTATGATGATGACTGGTTAAGTTGCAGGCATTAATCGATAAAATCAAGTTCTACCTATGAAAATGATTGATTGATATTGTGAATCATCTACAAAACATATGCTTTTTACACAAATGTATTTTTTTTTTACAAAGTCATCTCTTTCAGCACAATGTTCAATATCCTTATTCCTATTATTATTTGTCTTGTTTAAAAGTTATAAACAAGGTTTGTAAAAAGGTACATTGATTCAAGTTGCATATCGAGATAAGTATTGGTAGTATCCGTGTTAGTAAGGAAGGTGATCATGGTGAACATGATTCTGGAGGAGAAAATCAATTTATGCAATGATTTTTTACACTCATCGTCTTAAATAAGGCAAAGAATAAACACTTCTAGGCTGTCAGTCAACATTGTTTGACTATTAGCTTTAATAGCCGCACTGATCTCATCTGCGTATTTTGAATCTATCGATATGGAGTAGACTAGAATTAGTAACTTACTCAGTAGACTGATACTGGATATCAGTTATCCGTTGCATATTTCACATATATATCGAATGCTTACAATTTTAATCAATCAGATTTATTTCACTGAACCACTCTATTGTATTCAATGTCAATTTTTACAGTCGCGCTCACGATCATCATCGTTTCCAATACTTTATCATTTAATCAAGCTTTTTACATAATAGATTGATTTCCGGGCAGAGTTTTGGAGGTTTTGTGTTTTCACACATTTGAAATCATCAATCAATCATTGTTAGATCACCATTAGAAACCTGGAAGCACTGGACGGCCGTTTCGTCCTGATATGGGACTCATCATCAGTGAGCATCCATGGCTCCTGCACCTTGCAGGATTCGGACCCGGAACATTCGGTATTGTGCGAGAACGCCTAACCATAGTGGATGCGCACTGCTGATGTGTCCCATATCAGGACGAAACGGCCGTCCAGTGCTTCCAGGTTTCTAATGGTGATCTAACAATGATTGATTAATGATTTTAAATGTGTATAATAGATTAAACTAGTTTATATATGATCCTTTTTACTGTTGGAATCAAAATTATTCCATTCTCTTTCCCGCTAACTAATGAAAAAATGTCTTTCCATATATCATTAATCAATCTTCAGTTATATTGAAAGTTGATCTCAATTTTTCATTGAATTCACTTTTTAAATTTAGGAAAAATTATCATCAAAAATACTGTCAACCTACTTATCAAACGGATTTTTTTTATTATTTTTATTAATTTTTATTAATTTTACATAAAACTTGGAATATGCAATTATCTACGTCATTGTCATGACAATTTCCTTCATTATTATTTCATTCAAATTGATTACAATAAATGATAAAGATGAACTGTTCGAAAAAATTTATTCATAAATTATCAATAAAGAAGTAAAACACTGTCAGTTATTGGTACGTTTTTATAACTGAGTAAATGAATTGTTTTTTGTTGCATTTTTTAATAGTAACTAGATATTTTCTTCTGATACATACTGAGATCGAATATTAGTATCGATTAGTAAAGACTGCTTAAACAAAAAATATATTTTTCTTTGAATATATCATTTGAATCAAAGGTTCAACACCATAAGTAGATGTTAGGGACGTTAGATCTCCAGAACTCATTTGGAAAGTGTCTTAATTTCGGATTTTTTGTGTTATCGCGCATAAGTTGCATAGCTGACCTTGTGCTTACACTTCCCACTCAGGAAATCCTTGACTGTCATTTGTTGATAGATCCTTTTAGTAGGCTATTTCGTGGCTCTCGCAAAGACATTTTATAAATAAGCTTGATTTTCCCGCTTAGCAACCTCGTATTTTCTGGGTGCTTGTAGAATACACTTTCTACGCCTTATCAAGACTTCTTGATATAGTAAGCCAGGCCAAGGGCAATGGATTAGAATAGCCTATTGTGTCACTGCATCATTTGTCTTCGCCCCGTCTACCGAGTAAGGTAAACTCGTGATAGTTTCAAGCGTATCAATTAACGAGCATATCAGTTGATGGCATTCTTTAGGTAAACTTAAAAATGAGGCTATATCAGATGCTATAAATCTAGTTAATGTTAACAGTTGTTGAATTATCTAACCTTTAAATGTATTCATAATCTCTTTTTTTAACACCTAGTTTTAACTTCATCCATACCCTGATTAACTAGTCACAATGATGACTAACCAAATATGTTAAGTAAATTAAGACGCAAATACATACACATTAGGATGATATCAGTCATTGGTGTCTTTTAGTTATAACTTGAAAATAAGTAAGTAAATTCCATTATAAGTGGGATAATACTTAAGTGCCTATTTCACACTGGTTATATCAATTTCTACCACTTTCCATTTATACGCTTGCACAACCACAAACTTTCATATCATAGCTTTGAGAAGGTATTACCACACACGAATAGAAAGACCTTATTGTTCATTGAATGTTTAAGAATAGTACATACAATAGCGAAAATACAATAAATCAACTGCCTTAATGTAAACTTAAAATCTGTAAACTCATTTGTGAAGTGGCAAAGGAAAACAGACAAGAACTGTAATGAATGTTATCGATAGCATTATGATATGGCATATAGCTGAAAAAGTTGACAAAATTTCCTACCCAATTGAATCTAAGTCCCACTCGTCTCTTTTTGTTTTGAAAACAAACAAAACAGATAACTAAAACAAAAAAAATACTTTCAATTTTTTTCCCAATCTAATGTTAGATCATTGTGGTACGATTACTTAACGACTATTACATCATACAAGCTTTTTGTACATAGTGTTCATTTAGTTGTATAAGAACTAATGTTAAAACCAGTACACAGAGACAATCATAGCTAGTAAATCAGTACAATAATAATGCTGTACAAAATTCAATCCATTCAATTAGTATCGATATCGCATACGAGCTTTTATTCAAGACACAGGCAGAGTTAATTATCAGAACAGATTTTTTGTTCATTAGTAACTTTCTTTTTTTTTTGCTTACATTTTTTAGACGAATATTGTAGAAAGTTCAAAATGAATGCATAATAAAACAAAAAAAAGGTAATAAGTTTCTTTTTTTAATGGAATTAGTTGGGAAACAGCTGACACATAAATGGTAAACTAATTGAAACTGTTGTCTGTATTGCTGGATATGTATGTTGTGTGTGTGTGTGCACACATTTATGTGTGCTGTAACTATATATATATATATATATATATAACGCAATGCTTTTAAACTTTCTATAATCCATTAGCTGTAAATGACATTTGTTTCATGTGCACATTGTTAGTTGATTAGTTAATCTCGTAAGAGTAGTGAAGATAGAAAAAAGCGTAAAAATTTAAATGTTCCATACAGAAAATTTGTTCTGATTTATTTTGGTAATGTAGAAATAACAGAAAATTTATTCGCTTTTTAGTAATCTATTAGTGTCAGTGTTTTTTTTCGTTTTAATCTACCATCTTAAAGATATAACTAGTATATGCGTTTTAGTTGTTTTCAAACACTTACAGTGTCTTGATAGCAAATCTTTAATTGAGATTCACATGTGTTGCATTAGATTGGTAGATGTAAAACGAAATCATTCTGAACAGTATTGTTCGATAGGGAAAATTAAAT